TATATATACTAGTATATACTTAATAGTTACTAATTACATATGTATACCTTACTTATATATCCTATATAATAAAGAGCTAATGTGCAAATGATTGTCTCACCTCACACCCTCATGACCTCACACCGGGGCAGGGGACCTGAGGCTGAGCCCCCCACCCGGCAGGGCTTGGTGGAGGACCTGAGGCTGCGCCCCCTGCCCTGCAAGGCTTGACAGGGGTGGGGCTGGCCAGGTCTGGGTCTTGCATGATTTTGAGGTGCACACAGGTGGGCAGGGACTTGACTCTGGGTCCCACAGCGCACCCCAGACTCTGACAGTAGGGAGATTTTCATATACATTTTACTAATTTTCTTTCATCTCTGACACTTCTATTATAGAGAAAGGGCAAATAGCAATATTAAAATATTTCCTCTAATTCCCTTTTAATGTGCATGAATTTCATGCACTGGGCCACTAGTCTAATTATAAATGTATTTTAACTATATAGACATATATATTCTATTATATATTATAATTCCATGTATTTATATTGTATATATTCTAGTTATATATATTAATTACATATCCTAATTATGTATCTTCCAATTTTAAGCATTTTATTATATACTTGTGTTTGTGACTAAATAAAGATACTATACATAATAGGATATGTGTAAAATTACAACATATTATTAGAAGTTACGCACACATTCATGGTCAACTGAATTCAAAGTCATACCTGTAAATAAAAATCAGGATATTTTAAAATAGTTTTCTATTTTTCAATTATCGTTGACATACAATATTATATTCATTGCAGGTGTACAACACAGTGATTAGACATTTATGTAATTTACAAAGTGATCGCCCTGATAAGTCTAGTACCCACCCGGCACCATGTACGGTTACTGCAATATTATTGCTATATTCCCCATGCAGTATTTTACATCCCCGGGATAAGAAAATGAGATGTCAATGTTCACCTTTTGTGTGTGCAGCGGCAGATATAGGTGAATTTCTGAGCGCACACCACCACCTTGTGTCTTTTGGGGAAACTACATGTGAGTAGCATAGCATGTTGCCTTAGAACAGCGGTTCTCAACCTTCCTAATGCCGCGGCCCTTTAATACAGTTCCTCATGCTGTGGTGACCCCCAATTTCACTGTTACAAATTGAACATAATTAAAGCGTAGTGATTAATCACAAAAACAATATGTAATTATATATGTGTTTTCCGATGGTCGTAGGCGACCCCTGTGAAAGGGTCGTTCGACCCCCAAAGGGGTCGCGACCCACAGGTTGAGAACCGCTGCCTTAGAAGAAAGGGACTTCAGGCACTCCTTTATCTATTTAATAAAATTTATTTCACACCTGCTGTAAACTTTGCCCTAGAAGGTGCAGAGTACAGGGCTTTCCAGTCTGAAGCCTCCCTGGAACTCCTCAAGGCACATACGCTCCTTCCCCCAGGCAAAGAGTGTCAGGGACAAGGAGGCTGAGCAGGGGGAGCTGGAGAGTCCATGTCCCACATAATCAAGCAGCCACTGCTCAGCTCTAGACAGTTGCTCCCAGAAAGGCATATGGGCCTAGTGGTTTTCCTCTAAGAGAAGCCGGAAGTTCAAACATTGTGCAAATCTCTGATTTTTCAGTAACAAGTAATTCTAATTATTTCTAAATATCATCAGCCAACTTTGAGCATCGACAGGCTCTGCTCTGCTCAGAACGCCCTTCCAGAAAGAACTCCCTGCCAGGCTGAGAAGAGTGTGGTTAACTGAGAGTCACGCGGGCTTCAGCTTCCAAAGGAAGGCGTGCCCTTCTTGGAACAGCCCCCAACCAATAACAGCAAAGCAGCCATACAAGGGCCTGGACATCTGTACCAAGGAGGGCACCTCTAAAGAACAGCATTGGCTCTGGAGTCCCCAAAAGACTGACAGACTCTGTCAGGTCTGCATGGCAGGCTGACAGTTCCCCTTCCCAATCCTTTTTCTCCCCACTTCCTTTCACACAGGTTTCCAATATTTTAGCCTCTGATTCCCCGAGAACCAACATGTAACGTATGACTAGAATACCACTAAGTGGTTGCTTGAAAAGCATATGTTCAGTCTGAAATGCCCTGCTGGAATGTCTTAGAATAATGCTGACAAAAGAAATACAATGTTAGCCAAATGTGTAATTCTAAATTTTCTAGTAAGCACATAATAAGGGAAGCAAAACAGGTGAAACTTATTTTAAAAATATAGTTTACTTAATACAATAAATTTGAAAGTGTCATTTCAACATGTAATCAACATAAAAATAATTACATATTTTATATTTTCTTCTGTTCTAAGTGTTTGGGATCTGGTATAAATGTTATACTTAATAGTACATCTTAATTTGGACTAGCCACATTTCGAGTGCTTCCAACGAGGAGAGGGAGGTCTCCTAAATATATAGAAATTGAGGAGTGTTGTAGTCAAAGGGAAAGGATGGGAATTGCATTTGCATTTACAGCATGAATTAATTCAATTGTCTCCTTTTGGAGTACTGACAAGGTAGCTGCACCACAAGGCCCTTGTCTTTTTTGGCTTTTTTATTGAGATATAACACCCTCCTTTTCATCACAAACATATACCAAACTTACTTTGTGTCCTCAAATTCCTGAAGATATGGGCCCTGACACATGTTGTCCTCCCATTTCTACCTCTGTCACCAGGCAGGACTATAGATGACATTTTTATCTAAGCGGGTAACCCATCCCCAATCTGTCAATGACATAAACAGCGGTCTCTTATCAGAGTAAGTGAGCCAATGTAATCAAGAAAGCAAGGACCAACAATTATTTTTGCTCTTCCCATGTGGGGAGTCACAGCTGGTGTTTGTGGGAGGGAAATGATTCCATTTTCCCATTACATGGGAAGGAAAGGAGGTCAGTGATTTTTGTAAGAAGTCAGGGACTGAGGCATCAGGGATGGCATCTGGAGGGGGTGTGGGTGCACCTCAGGATCAGCTTTGTGTCTTTACAAGACGTGTGAGATGGTGGAGCCTAACCTGAAAAAGCAGTGTTTAGACACACTGCAGGGTCAAAAGCGAAGTATCCTGAAGGGTCATAGAAGACATAATAAGGAAGGAAAGCAGGAAGGAAGGAAGGAAGGAAGGAAGGAAAGGAGGGAGGGAGGGAGGGAGGGAGGGAGGGAGGGAGGGAGGGAGGGAGGAAGAAGGAAGGAAATATATCAATAAACTGTGGTATATTCATAATATACTACAAGTGTTTGTGTCTTCAATGTGTAGCTCTGTGCCTGGTACAAAGTAGACGTCAGTGTTCATTGAATAAATAAATAAGGAATAAAGATTACATGCATAGGGAGTATATAAGCTCAAGGAGAGATCACAATTACCTGGAATATTATGAAAGGCTTCCTTCAAGGTGGACTAGGAGTTCTACAAGCTGTGATCAGAGAGAGAGCGTTAGAGATAGAAGTCCAGTTTTGAGTGAATAAAACTGCATTCAGCTGCTCTAGTGACTGCAAACACTTTGACAATGTGGCCTGAACACATGTTCTAACTAAAAGACCTCTACTCTGTGCTGGGGAATTTATATTTCATTCTTCAGAACCAAGATGGGGAACAATGGCACATTGGATATACTTAGTGGGGAGTTCACTCATTCAACATTTTAAAATACTTACTGAGCATCTGCCCTCTACCAAGGCTTGTGCTTAATACTGGGGTAAAACTGTTAAGGTCAGAAAACATCCCTGCTTTAGTTGTGAAACTGTAGGATGAGAACCATCTTTGTAGCAGGGACAGGCAAATTCTTTTCACCTGTGTTCTTTACAACAGGCTGATGGAATGGTTATCATTATTAACCTCTCTAAATAGGAAGAGAGAGTGAAGAAATTAAGAAACTAGTTTCACTTAAACACAGCCCAACTGACTAAAAATCCATTGAGGTGTAATGAAGAATGAATTAAAAGCACACATTTAAAATGTAGGCTGGTGGGTTTTGACAAATGTATACACTTGGCACCACCACCACCAAGACATTCCCGTCACCTCGAACGTTCCCTTCCCAGTCATTGATCTGACTTGCACCGTTATTGATTACACTTGTCTTACCAACGGCATCATGCCATGTGTACTCTGGCGTCTTGCTTCTTTGACTCAGCATGGATTTTGTGTTTCATCCATATCAGTGGTTCTCAACCGTGGCTGCACATTTGAATCACCTGGGAATCTTTTTAAAATCCTGATTTCTGGGCCTCATCCTCCGGAAATTCTGTTTCTTTGTTACTAATGTTGTGGCCCCACCCCATAACAAAGAGAATTTCCGGAGGATGAGGCCCAGAAATCAGGATTTTAAAAAGATTCCCAGGTGATTCTAATGTGCAGCCAAGGTTGAGAACCACTGCTCTATATTGTGGTGACTACCCCTAGTTCATTTTTATTATTGCTGAATTCAGACTTTTAGGGAGAGAAGACATTCATCAAATAATCACCTAATTATTTTATCACAACAGCATTAAAATAAGGATACCTACAAGTGAAATACATTGTTTGTTGACAATTCAATCAGTACTTAGGGGTATATATACACTAGAGGTGCTGTGTGCTGGGTCATGATTGAGTTTATGGAAAATAAATGTTATTAATGGGTACCTTAAAAGACTCCTATATATCCTATGAATGTCTTTAAGTCCCTTATTTTTAAAACTTCACTCCAGATGATGTTCGGAAGTGCTTTTTGTTGTCTCTTTGAGCCTTCCCTTGAGCTGGTAGAAAAAAGAAGTTTGTACGGCGCATGCGCCCCTACCGGGGCGAGCCCCCAGCAACAGCGTCAGCGGCCCGGCCACCTCCACGTAGACGGCGAAAGCATACTGGTCCCCGACTCGGTACTGCCCGCCAATCCCGGGAGCCGTGGCGGTCACGTGCGCGCCTGCACGCCGGAATGGCCCCGCCCACCTCCTTGAACTCCCGCGAGGAGTCCGGCCTGCGCGGCCCCAGCCCCAGAGAATCTCCCGACGGCCAGGCTGCGCTTGCTCAGTGCGGCCGGTGGGCGGGGCGGGAGATGCGGAGACCGCGGAGTGGGGCCGCCCCACGGGCTGGGTGCCGGAGCTACGCCGTAGGGGCGCGGCGTCGCGGCGGCCCGAGCCGGGAAGACCCATTCTCTTTACGCGGCTGCCGTAAGGAAACTTGGTCCGCCCTCCCTCGGTGCTCCGGAGTCCTGGCCCCGGCTCCCCGGTGCGCCACGGGTCGGCGAAGCGCCTCTGCGTCAGGGCCTCGCTCCCCCGCCAGGTGCGGGGCCTCGGCGCCATGGACTCGTCGGCGCTGGAGCGGGACGCCGTGCAGTTCGCGCGGCTGGCGGTGCAGCGCGACCACGAAGGGCGCTATTCGGAGGCGGTGTTTTACTACAAGGTGAGCGGGGGACCGCGGCGGCCGTCGGAGAGGCCGAGGGGCGGGTCCCGGTACCGAGGCGGCCGGGCCCTGTAGCCTCTGCTCTTTACCCGCTCCTCTTCCTGCGCTTTCCTTCTCGGGCACCTGGCACCCCCACGCCCACCGGGGCTTCTGCCACGAGGGGCAGGTTTGCTCACAGCTTTGGAGCGACCCCCTCTCCGGTTGCAGTCCGGACCGGCAGTGCCCACCTGGGGCTGCCGTGGCCGCAGTAGTAGGTGCGGGCGGTTCGTGGCCGGCTGATTGTATCACTTGGTTCTCATTCTCGGCTCCTGGGCAGTGGTCTCTCATACACACTAAAATCATGCATGTTCGTTGGAGAAAACAAAATAAGTTTTTAAAGAAGAAAACATCTTTTATTCTAGCACTTGATGGTATATTTTTTGTGCTTGCGTTTCGACACATGTGTGTACCCTTTTTTTTTAAACAAACTTGGATCCTACTGTTGATACTATTTATAACCTGTTCATTTGAACTTTTTCAAATCGTTAAATTTACTTCTGTGATATCTTACCAGAGGCACAGCATTCCGTTGTGATTTTTAGCATCATTCGGGTATTTTAGCATCATAAGTAATGGTTTGGTTAATATCCTTGTCATTCATTCTCTATACATGTCTTTTCTATTTCTTTTGTATAAATTACTCGGGACAGAATTGTTAAGTCAGGGTGTGAACTTCCACAGCCCACCGTCTGCTTTCCAATCTTGAGGATTTGCAGACACACCCCTCCAGCCCTAGCTGAGCCCTCTTCTTCCTTGTAGCTGTATCTTTATCATATTGTCACCTTTTTTTTTTTTTTAAGAAATGTTGTCAGAGAAGTAGTAATTTTTTTCCATGAACGGATATGCTATATCATTAATGTGTGGTTTGCTTTTCTCGGATTAATATTAATCATTTCGTTCGGACTTTTTTGGGGACAATTTCATGAAGGTGATATTTCTTTAAAAGTAGAAATTCTGTGTCTTTTAGTTTTTTGTGAAATAACTGGTAAATACTCATAGATTAAAATAGTGCCATATAAAATAGTTTTTTCTAAAGTGAAAGAATATACTATGCAGTGCCTCTTGTTTTGCTATAGGATTTATGTGCATGTCATTAGGAAGAATTTTTTATCTTTGAGAAAGTCAGTGTGGTTGTGCTCCTAGGAACTATATACATAAACTTTATGGGATATTTAGTGCTTACTTTCTTAATACTGTTCTATATGGGATTCCTTAGTGTTAATCACTTTCAAATAGAAAAGAAATGAGTAAAATAAAATTGATACCAGCAGTTTTAAAAATTTGCTTTATTTGTTAAGCAAAATAAGTTGAAAATCGCTATTTACATGCAAGATAATTAAAGGGGTAAAATATATATTACTTTAATTTATTGAAGTTACGTGTAGCTATAATGTATTTAGATAATGATGTTACATGTGAAGTTATTTTTTTCTCCCCTGAAATAAGTGAGTTACAGAATCTGAGGAAATCGTAGCTTTTGTACCCCCACAGCTTTTAAACTGAATTTCCATTTGGTCAAAATCAATACCTTGTTTGTTACTGATTTTGTTAGTTTTAATGAAACAACTCCTGCTCCAATAGCTGGATTCAAAAAGTGATGTTCAGTGGAAGGCTTTATTGGATCCAGACAATTAGCCATGCGGCTTCACGAAGTGTACATGTTTAGGTTACTGCAGAGAAAGTGTTGCAGTTTGGAGAAGTCTCTCTGGTCCTTCTCAGTGGTAGCGTTGGTAACCATCCTGACGTGGTGATGGGAAGAATGGCAGCTCTTCCTCATTAGCCGCAGCATAATTGGCTGTGGAAGTTAGGGAATGAATAGCTGAAAGGTGAATCCAGAGTTTCTTAATTAAAATAAGTTGATTTCATGCAGCTGAAACCTGCTTTAAACTGTGACACCATTTGGCAGAATGTATTTTCTGTGGAGAAAGATTTTCTTCCCACTGAGTTATTTAAGCTTTATAATTTCTTGTAATCTTTTCTTGACACTTAGTTTTATCTTATTTTATTGGTTATTAGTGGCCCAGTGCACAAAATTCATGCATGGGGAGATGGGGTGTCCCTCAGCCCAGCCTGCACCCTCTCCAATCTGGGACTCCTCAGGGGATGTCCAACTGCCAGTTTAGACCCAATCCCACACCAGCAGTTGGACATCCCTCTTGCAATCCGGGACCGCTGGCTCCTAACCGCTCACCTGCCTGCCTGCCTGATCGCCCCTAACCACTCTGCCTGCCGGCCTGATCGCCCCCAACTGCTCCCCCACCGGCCTGCTCGCCCCCAACTGCCTTCCCCTCCTGGCCTGACACCCCTAACTGCCTCTGCCCCGCCACCATGGCTTTGTCCAAAAGGTCTCCCAGTGTAATTAGCATATTACCCCTTTATTAGTATAGATTGTTACCTGTTCTAATACTTATAAGGCACAGTTCACCATTTTAAGGTATATAATCTTAAGTCTGACCTGTTGCATAAAGAAAACATAAATCACAGCTATTCTAAGAAAATGTTTATAATCAATCCCTCCTATTTGAGTTGATAAGTTGTCAACAGTATGAGAAAATTAAGAGCATTAAGAACTGAAGAAAGGGTAGTGGAGTATTATATAATTCATTTGCTTTATAAGTAAAGTTATTAATATCTTAAGGACATTCTAGTTTTGTCATTCATAGAAACCAATAGTTAAAAAGTAATAAAGAAAATTCAAATTGTAATTTATATATTAGATTCCTTTGAATTCTTATTTTTAGGAAGCTGCACAAGCCTTAATTTATGCTGAGATGGCAGGATCGAGCCTAGAACACATTCAAGAAAAAATAAATGAATATCTGGAAAGAGTTCAGGCTTTACATTCAGCAGGTCAGTAAAAGACTACTAAACTTATCACTGTATTTTTTTTTCTCTTCTCTTCCATCACATCTTACTTTTCCCTCTATGTTTCTCTTTCATTTTTATCTTTGAATCTTGATCCTAAGTCTCTTGTTGTTAATTCCTCTTTTGGTAATCACATCTTTAAAAGTCATAATATGTAAATGAATTATTGATCTGTGAAGGAGAACCTTAGAGATAATACAGTTCAATCTCCTAATTTCCTAGTGGTTTAGAAATGGTGAGTTATTTACATTCTGACTGTATCAGTAGCAAAATCAGGATTAGGACCCTGTTAAAGTCTCCTTTTTAAATATCTGTCACATGCCCTCTCCTGGTATTAAATTTAAATGACTACTCCTCTTAAGTGTTTAAAAATATTTTTTTATTGATTTCAGAAAGGGAGGGATAGAAACATCAATGATAAGAGAGAATTATTGATTGGCTGCCTCCTGCACCTCCCCCTACTGGGGATCGAGCCCACAACCCGGGCATGTGCCCTTGACTAGGAATCGAACCCAGGACACTTCAGTCCACAGGCCAATGCTCTTTCCACTGAGCCAAACCAGATAGGGCTCCTCTTCAGTGTTTAAAGACTTCAGTAGTGGGTTCACAGTCTCTTATATATCAGTATCCTCAACCTCAAGACCTTAGCTAAATTCTTTTAAACCGTATCTTAGAAAAGCGACATGTAGGCAGAAACCTGGAACAGCCTGTATTTATGTTCATAAACAACATGGAAAATTCCTTAAAGCAAGTACACACAGGCTTAATGATCACAGTTTTGTTAGAGGTCAGGTTTTCTGTCAAAATTTGCTGTTCATAGGGTAGAAAAGAAATAATCACCTGTTGACATTTTGTGTTAGAAATGCATTCATCTTACTAAGGACTCTTTAAGTTTAACCCTTTTTCCTGTGGCCCTATGATAAAGTGACAAGCAGCTTAGAGCAGCAATTTATTTTCAATCTTTTTTATCTCATAGCACACATAAACTATTATTAAAATCCAGTGGCACACCAAAAAACATATAATTTTTGCCAATCTGACAAAGAAAAAAGTATAATTTTATTTCATTCACACCGGATAGCTATTGTGTTGACTGTCATTATTTTTTAAATTTGACAACCTAATGAAAACAAGGTATCTAAATAGTCAGGTATTGCATGTTTTAAAAATTCTTGCAGCACACCAGTTGAACAGGTTAATATCACTAGTTTAGAGAAATCTTTACTTATTCAGCCTTTCCTGATAAACTTCATGCTACATTCCACTACTCATTCTGAATAGATAGAAGCAGAAGTTATAAGCACATAATTAGGATAAAGTAGATTTGATGATTGGATTCCTTGTCATAACAGTCCCTTTAAAGACAAGGTGGTTTAGCCTGGTCGGTGTGGCTCACTGGTAGAACATCAGCGCACACATTGAAGGGTCTCGGGTTCAATTCCCGATCAAGGGCACGTAGCTCAGTTGCAGGTTCGATACCCGGCCCTGGTTGTAGTGATTGTGAGATACAACCAATCAATGTCTCTCTCTCTCACCCCCTTCCTACTTCCCACTGTTCCTTCCACTCTTAAAAAAAATCAGTAGAAAGCCCGGTCAGTATGGCGCAATGGTTGAGCATCAATCTAGGAACCAGGAGATCATGGTTCTGTTCTGGGTCAGGGCACATGTCCTGGTTGCAGTCTCCATCCCCAGTAGGGGGCCTGCAGGAGGCAGCCATCAATGATTCTCTCTCATCATCGATGTTTCTATCTCTCTCTCCTTTCCTCTCTGAACTCAATAAAAAAATACATATTTTTTTAAGTCAGTGGAAGAACTATCTTTAGGTGAGGATTAACAACATCAAAAAAAAGATAAGGTGGTTTAGTTTAAGACAAGTCCCAGAAATTGTATAAATTAAGGTCCCAAAAATTGTATGTATTAAAATGTGGACTGCCTGTGCATCAGGGCCCTACTTGATAAAAAGTTACATTGATTCATGTATTCAAAATACCTGTAAATTCCAAGAAACTTTTATTTTCCCAACCAAGTAAGTGAAGTTCTTAAATTTATAAATGTGATACTGAGGCACAGAATGAGATAGCCCTTATCTCTTGAAAGAATAAAGCTTTCCAGTGAAACAGAAGTAAAGTTCAAAAGGATTTTTAAAGTATAACATACCTTAATTGTTTTGCTAGCTTTTGGGCCCATTTTATTCAGCAAATGAAATGAAATCTGTAAAGCATTAAATGGTTTCCTTAATTATTATTTTAAACAGTCATTTATCAAATAAAAGTCTTGTTCAGAAACCCAATTTTTAAAACATAAAATCTGCTGGCAGTGAAGAGATTTTTGAGAGATGAGTTGTGTTTTGGGTGGGGAGAGGTAACACAGTTTGAAATTCACCAGTGTAGAATAAAAACTCAAGACTTGGAATTAAAAGATCTCAGTTGAAGCAGTTTGAACCCAAGTCTTGGTCTCTCACCTTCCTCCCTGAACAACATGAGCTTTAGCACCCACTCCATCTTCTCCACCACCTACCAGACCCTGGGCTCTGTGCAGTCACCCAGCCAGCCATCAGTGTGGCCAGTGTCTATGCAGGCACTGGGGGTTTGGGCTTGCACATCTCCATGTCCCCTGCTCGACCAGCAATGTGTGGCTGCTGGTGGTCTGGGGGCCTAGTAGGTATAGGGGGTGTCCTGAGCAAGGAGACTATGCAATTCCTAAATGACTGCCTGGAGAGGATAAGGAGTCGAGGTTGATCATCAGAGACTGGAGAAGAAAGGACCCGAAGGCTCAGATCTTTGCAAGTTCTGTGGACAATGCCCACATTGTTCTGCAGATTGATAATGCCAGTCTTGGTGCTGATGACTTCAGAGTCAAGTTTGAGATGGAGTTGGCCATGCATCAATCTATGGAGAGTAACATCGATGGGCTTTGAAAGATCACTGATGACACCAGTATCACTCGGCTGCAGACAGGGATCGAGGCTCTCAAGGAGGAGCTGCTCTTCATGAAGAACCACGAGGAGGAAGTAAATGGTCTATAAAACCAGACTGCTAACTTTGGGTTGACTATGGAGTTGGATGCCTCCAAATCTCAAGACGCAGCAAGATCATGGCAAGCGGGCATCTGGGCCCAGTATGATGAGCTGGCTTGGAAAAACCAAGAGGAGCTGGACAAGTACTGGTCCCAGCAGATTGAGGAGAGTACCACAGTGGTCACCTTGCAGACCACTGAGGCAGGAATGACTGAGATGACATTCTCAGAGATGAGACATATGGTCCAGGTCTTGGACATCAAACTGGACTCGAGAAATCTGAGGGCCAGTTTGGAGAACATCTTGAGGGAGGTGGAGACGCATTATGCCATGCGGATGGAACACCTTGACGGGATACTGCTGCACCTGGAGTCAGAGCTGGCTTAGGCCCGGGGCAGAGCAGCAGCGCCAGGTACAAGAGTACAAGGCCCTACTAAACATCAAGGTCAAGCTAGAGGCTGAGATTGCCACCTGCTGGGAGAAGGGGAGGACGTCCATCTTGGTGATGCCCTAGACAACAGCAACACCATGCAATCCAACCAAAAGACCACCACCCCAGGATTATGGATGGCAAAGTGGTGTCTGAGGTCTGTGACACCAAAGTTCTGAGATGTTAAGGCAGCAGAAGTAGGCACCCCTTGGGAGGCAGGAGACCAACAAAAAGTTCAGTGATCATTAATAAATAAACAAACAAAAGATCTAAGTTGAGTCCTTACCCTTCATTTGTAGCTATGAAACCTTAGGTTACATCACTCATTCTCAGCTGGGAGGGATTTTGCCCCTCATGAGACATTTGGCAATGTCTGAAGAGAAATTTAGTTTTTACACTAGGGGAGGTGGGGGAGTATACTTTTGTCATCTAGTTTGGTAGAGGCCAGAGACCTTGTGAAAAATCCTACAATGCATAGGACAGTCCACAGCAAAGAATTACCCATCGAGAATGTCATTAGTGCCAAGGCTGAGAAACCCTGAACTAGGTATTTTAACATTTTTGAGGTTTGGTATCTTCATTTTATAAATGGGATTCGTACATTATTCAGAGAGGTGTTACTGAGGGTTAAAGTTGTAAAAAAAGATCACCAACGCTAGCCAGTTTGGCTCAGTGGATAGAGCATCAGTCCGTGGACTGAAGGGTCCTGGGTTGGATTCCAGTCAAGGGCACATACCTCAGTTCCAGGCTTGATCCCCTGCCCTGGTCAGGCTCGTGTGGGAGGCAACCAATCGATGTTTCTCATATTGATGTTTTTCTCTGTCTCTCCCTCCCACTCTCCCTAAAATTCACTGGAAAAATTATCTTCAGGTAAGGATAAGAAAAAAGTCACCATATACCTTTAAGAGACAAAAGGTAAAGCTTTTTAAGAAAGATAACAGCTTTATTGAGATATAATTCACATACCACAAAATTCACCTTCTTATTATCTACAATTCAGTGGGTTTTAGCACAACTCTACCTTGCTAAACATTTTTTTTAAATGAAGGATTATAGAGGTTTGGTAAAGAATGTCTTAAATGTATTAAAATGGTATGTTGTTTCCCAGATAGATATATAGGTAATACTACTTCTATATGGCTATTTTTCCTATCCTAGTTCAGTCAAAGAGTGCTGATCCTTTGAAATCAAAACATCAGTTGGACTTGGAGCGTGCCCATTTCCTTGTTACACAAGCTTTTGACGAAGATGAAAAGGGGAATGTTGAAGATGCTATAGAATTGTATACTGAAGCCGTAGATCTCTGTCTAAAAACTGTATGTATAGCTACAAGTTAAATTTGGTGGAATTATGCTAAGAAATTTCTCCCTTTACTAGTTAATTTTATTTAACAATTTCTTAAAGAAAAAAATGTGTCATGAATGTAACTAAATTACTCATTAAAAGATGGAGAGTAAAAAATGAATAGTGGATTTTAATATCTCGTTTAAAGTTTTTAACAGCATTAAGATCATCAAGCAATTTTTTTCTAAATTACAGGTAGCTTTTTAACCTCTTTACATATAACTAAATTAACTTATTACAGGAAGAATTCACCATCACAAATTTAGAATAAACTCTCCTCCACCTTTTTTTTCAATTTCATACACTAAAAACAAAGGTAGTGGTTTGGTAGTGCTTTATTAATTTGCAATGTAAAATCTATATGATGAGTTGCTTTTACTTCTCTCTGAGGAGCCCTAGGTGGGATGTGAGCTTTAAAGGGCATCTAGTGCATAAGAGCAGTGTATTTGACAGGAAGATGAGGTGAAGTGGTAGAGAGTGGCCTCAGTATTATTCAGAGCACTGGCTTTTTGTCTAGGGTGTTTTGCTCGGGAGAACCGCCTGATCACTATGGGTACCGGAGACTGGAGGTAAGAGCTGGTCTTCTGAGGTTCCTGCCTTCCATGGCACCAGGTCACACAGTTGTGTTCCAGTTACCACCTGTCCACTTTAAGCGGCCTTAAAGCTTACCTCGATGACAAGTTTCAACACTATTTTAAACAATACCTTTAAGAATGAAAATAAAATGTCTTGGTTTATTCTCTCATAATTTCAAGAAGTGTAATGTGCATGGTTAATTTTTTTGCTTAGAAATATCATGAATCAAGAAAATTTAAAAATAATTATGCTTCAGAATGTGTATCTCTCTTTCTCTTAAGTCCTATGAAACTGCTGATAAAACTCTGCAAAATAAACTGAAACAGTTGGCTCGACAGGCACTAGATAGGTGAGTTTTGGTCACTTAAGTTCTTTTCCATGGGTGGCAGTGTATTGTGTCACTTAAATGTGACAGATTTATCAAAATGTGTTAGAGTTTATAAAAACAAATCTCCATCTTTTACCTGAGATGTAGAGGAAGTCTATTTTTTTTCTCTGAGTGCATTTACTTCTCTAGTTTCCTGCTTTAAATTTAAAATATAACATTAATCAAGAAATGTTTTCTGTAGCTTTTTCTATATATGAAACAAAAATGATCATGGTATTTGAAATGGAAGACTTCCCTTCTGTTGTGTAATATTAGACTTCCAAAGAAGAGAACTTCCAGAGAGCCTTCTAGAGCTAATAATAAAAATGAAGAAATTGAGAATGAGCCAGTTTGCAGCCATACACATACCCTAGATTATATAATGTAGTAATTCCTTTAACTCTGCTCAAATGTCAACTTTTCAATAAGGCCTGCCCTAACCAATATAAAACTGAATCTCCTTCAATACTTTTACCCTGCGTACTCTATTCTAATATTCTTTTCCATAATTCTTAACACTTTCTAAGACATGAAATTTACCAGTTTGTCATGTTAATGTTTGTGTTCCTTCCAGCAGTCATCACTTCAATGCAGGCTCTTGAGCACAGAGAATTTTGTCTGTTTTGTTTAATGATCTAACTGAGCATATAGCAGAAGGTTGGACTTACAGTGTGTGCTCAGTAGGCATTTGTTGAAAGAATAAATGGATTTGCACAATAGAATTCTACCCTTGAAGAGCACTATAGACAAAGGAAAAGGGTGGAAATTGCTTTTATAGTTATATTTCATAAAATTGCCTCCTTTTGAGGCTCTGACTAGCTAGCTGTACCACTCCAGTCCTTTTTTTTATCAAAGTATAATAGTCATCCCTCCATTTTATTACCATCATCTAGCCTTTAGTTTGTTTTTTTTCAAATTCTTGAAGATATGGACACTTAACACATAGTTATTTTCTCCATTTTGACTTCTTTCACCAGTCTGAATCATCGATGCCTTTTATTACCTATGCAGCTAACCCATCCAGTATTCTCTAAGTGTATCCCTATGTGCACCGGAGTGGGTCAGTCATGGGCTTCTTTGAGGATCTGTCCAAAATTATGGATCCATTCTCTAAGAAAAATGTACATAAAATTTTTGGCATGAATTTCAGAATTTTCACAAGACTCCTGAAACTATATATGGACCTCAGATTAAGAACTTCTGTTTTTTAGCTTGTTAGTTCTTTGACAAAGTCAAAATTTCCTGGAGGCCTATAATCCAATCCCTGCTAGTGGTTTTATCTCCCACTGCTTCTTATTTGCACTGTTTACAGGGGCTGCATCCATTCTTTTGAAATTACCGTAACTCACTGCTGTTTCATACATTTGCATATGCTATTCTCTCTACTCCAAATACTTCCTCACTCCCCTAGTGGACTTCTCTGCAGCCCACACATCAATTCAGAAAAAAAAATTCCCTGATTCACCCTCTCTTCCCACTTCATTAAGTTAATATCGTCTGTCATGCATTTACTCAAAAGTACTATTTCTTGTTAGCATCTGTCACTTTTGATGTAGTCTTTCTTTCCCCACAAAACTATGAACACCTTAAAAGTAGGGATTGTGTTTTATACATTCTTGTATCCCCATTGTATAGTACCTGATATAAATGCTCACTTAATAGAATATTGTTTGCAAAAATACCTTTGGGAGTAGCTTAAGTAGTGAACAGTTGACTAGTTTATAAGAATTTTATATACTAGGTTTACATTAGGAATGCTTGACTGGTTCTTGAAGTAAATTTTATTTTCTGGAAAGCTTAAATGTGAAAAAAGCTAAACAGTGTTTCTGTACCTCTATTATAGAGCAGAAGCATTGAGTGAGCCTTTAACAAAGCCATTATGCAAAGTCAAGTCAACCAATATTAAACCAAAGCCACCTCCAGCAAGAGCACATTTTCCACTAGGAACTAACCCCTTTCTTGAAAGACCTCAGCAGTTTATAAGTCCACAGGCATGCGATGCACAAGGACAGAGATACACGGCAGAAGAAATAGAAGTTCTCAGGTAAATTAGTTTCTCATTCATTGTAATGAACAATTTTATTCTCATTAGGTTTGTTGGGTCATATTCACATCTTATAGTGTATAATGCTATTAATTATATATTGTCATGTGGTCACAACTTTAAATACTTAAAATTTTTCTAATATATTTTAGTATTAGCATTTCTACTAGGTATGTTTTCCTGAAAATCCTAGCATTCTTCAAAATTGAGAACTAGAATTTAGGGAGCAAAATAGATATGTGGCAGACCAATCAATCATCTGTGCAACTTTGTAACCAGATCCCTAATGGGAAAAATAAATTGTTAACTTGAAATAGCAGTGTAGGCCAGGAGTCAGCAAAGGGAAGCCAAGAGCTATGAATAGTTTTTGGATTTTTTTAAGGGTTCTAAAAAAACAACAACAACAAAAAAACGCAGAACAACATATGACAGACCTCATTGCAAAGCCAAAACTATATTCTATTTGGCCCTTTAAAGAAAATGTTTACCAACCCCTGGTCTAGGAAGCCATGTCAGTGTGTGGAAGAGCCTCAAGGGTGTTAAAAATGCAAACAACAGTGATGTGGAACTCCTTGGTTGCATTCTGAGCCATCCCAGATGGGATAAATCTCTGAGCCAGTGTGGCTGTTCTTCAGTTGGGCTCTGGAAGAGACCTAACTTAGAGTAGTGCGAATCATGTAGTTGCTCATTTTTAATTTCCTCAAATTGGGCCTAAAGGGCTTCTCACGTAGCAGCCACCTGAGGGTATTTTTCTTTCTTTTCTTGCTATGGATTTTAATTCTCCTACAAGTCTGGCTCTCTTTGCCTGGCAAATTGCATGTGAAACGAAACAACACAGAGCAGGATGAATAAGGGTGGTTTTGGAATTGAGAGACGGTAAATTAGTAACAGTCCGACACTCGGGCTACTCGGCATCCAAAGGTTCTCTTCTGTACACATTTGACATTCCATACTACAACAAAACAACTCTGTATTTCTAATAAATGCAGCTATCCTTCATACAAGTGAAAAGTTCTCATCCTCTCAGAAAAAGAATATACACAGTCATAGTATCCATCGCTTACTGTATTAACTTTCTTCAAATTCAGTCACAGTCTCCCTGAATATTGGGGACTAAGTGGTGAAGTTACCCTGCAATTACTTCTAAATAAAATGAGGGGAAAAAACAGAAGAAGGAAATAGTAAATGTACTAGTATACAAATAAATATACACAAAACAAGAAAATATGCAAAGCTACTACCAAACACATTTCTTTAACTTTTCAAGAGGCCATACCTGTTATCTATGACACTTAACCACTCCATATTCTCATACCCAGAAAATATGAAGAATATAGTTTCATAGTTATAAATGTCATGTTTTTTAAATCTCAAAATAACCAAGCAGTTGTTTTCTCCCTTTGGACTTAGGATAGAATTCACTTTGTCCCTGGTGTCACAGACACTTTCAATACTTCTGGTTGGTCCTGTCTTGAGACTATTGTTTTGTTGTAACTCTACTGAATTGAATTAAATCAGTTATTTTCTGGTATTCAACAATTTTGTGAAAAATTTGTCCAAATAAAGATACTGGTTTTGTCCAACGTGAGATTGTAAGTTTAATTTTATTACAGTACCTTACCTTGTCATTTAAATTTTAAGGAGTTTAAGTGATTATGCTAATTTGAACATTTACTTTAGATTTTATTTTCTTGTATTTTTTAGGACAACATCAAAAATAAATGGTGTAGAATATGTTCCTTTCATGGCTATCGACCTGAGAGAACGTTTTGCCTTTCCAATGCCTTTCTGGTAAGTAAGCACTATAGCAATTTTTACTTCCAATATTTTACTTTTTCAGTACTTTTCCCATATTCTGAAGTGTAAATTTATAGTTTTGAATTTAAATTTGTGGTTTAAAAACTTGATTGGAAGAGAAGTGTGGTTATGGGAAGGAGATAGGGGCAGCACAGCAATACCTTTATTACTCTTTTGTCTCCTTTTGCGTAACATTATACTCAGTGCCAAGCACAGTTCCTAGCACAAAGTAAGTACTCAGGAAGTATTTGTTGAATTGGTGTTTGATCACAACAAAAATGCAAGTCTAAAAGAACTGAATGGAAAAGTGGAATAGAATGACAGTATTGTTTACTAAGAAGATACAATTCAAAAAAGAGTTAATTATGGAAGTGTTAACACAGCCTTCTGGATAGTGGCAGCTTATGTCAAGAGCCTTAAAAATATTGTTTGGTTCAATCCCAGCTTCTGGTCATCCTAAGGAAATAATTTCGTTAAAGATGTTTATGTATATAAGAGCATTCATCAAAACATTCATAGCAAAAAGTTATTGAAACAAATATTTAACAATATGGGAGTGATTAAATAATGGTACATTCATTTTATATTAAGTACTAGAGGCCCGTTGCACGAAGAGGTTCGTGCGATAGGCCTTCCTTCCCCTGGCTGCCGGCACCAGTTTTCCGCCGCACCCAGGACCCAGGCCTTTGCTCCAACCACAGCAGAGAAGCCAAGCCTCGAGGCTTCTCCGCTCCAACTGCAGCGGAGAAGCCAAGCCTCTTCAGTCGTCTTCAGTCTTCAGTATTCGCTCGGGTGGAGCCTTCAGTCTTCGCTCTGAGCCTGCATATGCAAATTAACCGCCATCTTTGTTGGGTTAATTTGCATGCTCATCCTGATTGGCTGGTGGGCATAGCCGAGTGACACCAATTTGCATGTTTCTCTTTTATTAGTGTAGATTATGGTTCCCATAAAAAAATAAGTCCTTGAAAAATGTAGGAAAAATGCTTGCAATCTAGTAAAAAGAAAACTAGAAAAATATACATAACATTCAATTTTTTAAATTTTCATATATTTATGCATATATAGAAAATGATATAAAGATTATACATCAGAATGTTTAGTTTTTATTTATAGGTAGCAAAATTGTGTGAGTTAAATTTTTAAAATATTTTTATTTTAAAAAACATTTCTGCAATGCACATATCAGAAAACAGAATTGAATGCTTATTATATACAGAAAATATAAAAGGTCTTAAAAAGAACAAAAGAACTGCTTTCTCATTTTTGGTGTTTTGCTGTTCTTGGATGGGCAGAAGTTAGATATTTCAAAGCCAGTAAGTTATCAACCTAATTTCCTCACTCAGGCAGCCGATGCTAATACTTGATTGGAATCTAAGAAAATCTTATATCTGAGAGGCTTTATAGCATTGAATTTGAGGGCACAGATTCCAGAGCCAAGTTCAGTTTCATGCCCTATGTGATGCTTCACAATTTTTTAAGCTGCCTTAGATTTTAAAACAATATTCGAATCCACCTCATACCATAACAGTAATGATTAAGTGAGTTAATAAAATATAAACCACTTAATAATGGTGCTTGAATTTAAATTTGTAGTTTAAAAATTTGATTGGAAGAGAAGTGTGGCTATGGGAAGGAGGTAGGGCAGCACAGCAATACCTCTGTTACTCTTTTGTCTCCTTTCGTATAGCATTACACACAGTGCCAAGCACAGTTCCTGGCACAAAGTAAGTACTCAGGAATCCTATCTAATAAAAGTAATATGCAAATTAACCATCACTCTGCGACAAAGATGGCGGTGCCCATAATGGCTGGGCAGGACCCTGGCGGCTTCACCCCAGCAATGTGAGCCCAGCAGGCAATCAGGGCCGCAGGCAGCACCCAGCAGGGCCTGCTGGGCATCGCCATGGCAACCGGGGAGCAGGGTGCAGGCAGCACCCAGCAGGGCCTGCTGGGCAGTCGCCACGGCGACCCGCAAGAAGGCAAGGGGGACCCGCAGGCAGCACCCAGCAGGGCCTGCTTGCCCATCCCCGTGGTGTGGAGCAGGCAGGCCCAGCAGAGAGCAGAGAACCATGGGGAGGGCCTAAGCCATCCGTAGCATATCCCCTGAGGGCTCCCGAATTGGAGAGGGTGCAGGTCAGGCTGTGGGACCTCCCTGCCCACCCCCACCTCCCCGTCCACAAATTTTGTGCACTGGGCCTCTAGTATCCTATATAAAGGGGTAATATGCAAATTGACCCTAACAGCAGAACAACTGGGAATGACTGGTCTCCATGACAGACACTGACCACCAGGGGGCAGATGCTCAATGCAGGAGCTGCCCCCTGGTGGTCAGTGCGCTCCCACAGGGGGAGCTCTGCTCAGCCACAAGCCAGGCTGATGGCTGCCAGCACAGTGGTGATGGCGGAAGCCTCTCCCGCCTCCTCAGCAGCACTAAGGATGTCTCACTGCAGTTTAGGCCTGCTCCCCACTGGCAAGTGGACATCCCCCGAGGGCTCCTGGGCTGCCAAAGGGATGTCTGACTGCCAGCTTGGGCCCGATCCCCCCAGGGAGCGGGCGTAAGCCAGCAGATGGACATCCCCCAAGGGGACCCAGACTGCGAGAGGGCACAGGCCAGGCTGAGGGGACCCCCCCCCCCCTCCGCAGTGCACAAATTTGTGTGCACCAGGCCTCTAGTATAATATAATCCTTATTATATAATGTAGTCCTTATTTTATAGTAAATGCTATATAATAAGGATTAACTGTTAGAAAAAGAATTATTGCATTAAGTACTAAATTATATTACACAGTTTGGCTGTTCATTTCAAATACTTTACAAATGTTTATACCCGTTTGACCAGTAATTTCACTCTAGAAAACTAATTCTAAAAAGGATTTACAAATGTCAAAGATTTGTATAAAAGATTATTCACTGTCTATAATAATAAAAGCATAATATGCTAATTAGACCAGATGTCCTTCCTGACGAAGCCAGGGCTGCGAGGGAAGCCCGGGTCCCAGGTGCCAGAGGGAAGCCAGTGCTGGCAGCCGGGGGAAGGAAGGCCTACTCTTGCATGAATTACTCTAATTGTGAAAATGTGAGTCAGTTATTCTAGTATATTTGTGTGTTTTTTAGTGTGAGGTTTCTTTTTTTTAATACTTAGGATATTTTTTCTAATGATTTTCTTTTTCTAAGAGAGAGTGGAAGGGAGGGTAGAGACAGAGAGAAACATTGATGTGAGAGAGAAACATCAATTGGTTGCTTCCCGCACGTGCCCCAACCTGAGCCGGGATAGAGCCTGCAACCGAGGTTCGTGCCCTTCACCGGAATTGAACCCACGACCCTTCAGTCTCCTGGCCGATGCTCTAACCACTGAGAAACCTGGCTAGGGCTAAGTTTTCTTTTATTAATTTTTCCTAAACTTGTCTCATGTTTACTGAATGTTTTTCTTAGTGTAAGAACACAACCTGGCATTTTAATAAACCCGTTTGGATAATGCAGTCAGATAAATGCTTCTCTGCTCATAAGTCATCAACTATCACACACTCTCTGGCCTGGCCTCCATGTAATTTCAAATGCTGTTAAAGCCTATCTAAACAGAAAGCAAGCAGACCACATCATCTTATTTCTACTTTAGACTTTAAACTTCAAATTCACCTACACACACACACACACACACAATATTGTTTAGGAGGAAAGGCAATTAAGGACTGAGTCAGTTGCATAAGAATTGGCTTAATTCTGCAAGCCAGTACTCTTTTTTAAAAAAATATATTTTATTGTTTTTTTACAGAGAGGAAGGGAGAGTTAGAAACATCCATGAGAGAGAAACATCCATCAGCTGCCTCCTGCACACCTCCTACTGGGAATATGCCCACAACCAAGGTACATGCCCTTGACCAGAATTGAACCTGGGATCTTTCAGTCAGTCTGCAGGCTGATGCTCTATCCACTTAGCCAAACCTGTTAGGGCTGCAGCCAGTACTCTTAACTATTGGCCTCATTCACTGGCAGGCCAGCTGGAACTCATTTTTTTTTTTTTTAATATATTTGTATTGATTTCAAAGAGGAAGAGAGAAAGAAACATCAATGGTGAGAGAGAATCATTGATCGGCTGCCTCCAGCACACCCCCCACTGGGGATCAAGCCCACAACCCTGGCATGTGCCCTTGACTAGAATGGAACCCGGACCCTTCAGTCTGCAGGCTGACGCTCTTCACTGAGCCAAACCAGCTAGGGCCCAAGAAATCTTTTGAAACCCAAAGATTTGTTGCCCTTGCTCTAGAAGAAGTTTGAGGAAAGATAATTTTTATTTAGTACTCTATATCAATTTTAGATAAATAATGCACTATATTTTGCCAACACATGGTGAATAGAGGGTAATGGAGGAGAATGGTGGATTTGGCACCATAGACCTGAATTCAAGCACCAGTTCTGGCCTGGCCAGTATGGCTCAGTTGTTGAGTGTCAACCTATGAACCAGGAGGTCACAGTTCAGGAGGCAGCCCATCGATGATTCTCTCTCATCATTATGTCTCTCTCTCTCTCCCTCTCTCCCCCCCCCATCCCTCCCTCCTTCCCTCCCTTCCTCTCTCTGAAATAAATAAAAACATATTTTAAAAATAGAAAAAGCCAGTTCTGCTATTTCTTAGCTGTTTGGCCAGGGCAAGTTGTTTAATCATTTTAAGCCTTTTCCAAAAATACTTGCTGTAATAGAATTGTTTTTGAGGATTCAATAAGTAATGTATGTAAAGTACTTTAGCATAATGCCTGCCGTATGGTTATTATTCAGTAATTAGATACTCTCATTGTTAGCCTTGCAGAAAAGAGTTTGTCAAGACCCAAAAGATCTGTAGTTTCCTAGGTCGTTTTTAATGAATCAGATTATATTGTTGTTAGTGGCTTCATTTTATCAAAACTGAATTTATTGAATATAACCATATCTTTAAAATAAGCGTAAATGCATTTAAATTGCACTTCTGTTTGCAGGTATCTGTGTTTTGTTTTGTTTAATAGGGGTGGATGATCAGATTGACTGGATTCATGGTTAAGTGTAAAGAGCCCGATTTAACCAGAGAATTATTTTAGGATGACCTAAATATAGCTAGGAGCACTATACAAAAAAAATTAGGAAATTTTAATTTTGGTTTTGAATCATTGTTTAAGATTAATTTTATTATTGCTGTTTTTTAATTTTTATTATTACCTCAGTGATAGATTGGGCAAGCTACCATTATCACCTAAACAAAAAGCTATGTTTTCCAAATGGGTACGCCCAGAAGACCTCAGCAACAATCCTACAATGATTTATACTGTGTCCAGTTTCAGCATAAAACAGGTATATGTTTTGTATAATTTTATATGAAAGCTAGCATTTTAAAGTAATTTGGATATAGATTTGACTTTTTTCTTACGTTTTTATTACATATTCAGATGCATGAGTATATTTGGAAAAATTATTCTGCACACTTTGATTTAGACATACTGAGATAATAAAAGTGTGAATAACTATTTTGAGCAGTCACAGAGTTTTATATAGACCCTATTTATGGACACATGCTTGCAGATGAGAAAGTTGAGAATATGAATTTTACCGTTGATAAGATAGTAGAAAAGATAGAAATTGGGCTTACTTAAAACACTTCAATGTTGAAACAACAATATGGCTTTATTGCAAACTTTAAGTTTTGCAATGAAATCACAGGCATCTTCCACATCAGTATAAAATAATGATCCTGAAATACTATGATTCAAGAATCTTTTATATACATACTAGAGGTCCGGTGCACAAAATTCATGCATGGGTAGGGTCTGTAGGCCTGACTGGTAATCAGGGCCAGTCAGGGTCTTCCTTTGTTCTGCGCTGCCCCCTGGTGGTCACTGCCTGTCATAGCGAACAATCGAACTCCCGAGGGGACAATTTGCACATTAGCCTTTTATTATATAGGATTCATCTTTAGAGGTCATAAACCAACTTTTTAAATGCCTTTAATTTTTTGTCCACATTAAAAGTATGATTCACTTGGTAAAAATGGTAAAGGGATTAAGAAAACACACACACACATACACAACACAACAGACATAGACAACAGTATGATGATTACAAGAGGGGAAGGGGAGTGGGGAAAGTTGGAGAGAGTAAAGGGGATATAGATGGTGATGGAAGGAGACTTAGCTTGGGGTATTGAACACACAATACAATATACAGGTGATGTATTACAGAATTGTACCCCCGAAATCTATATAATTTTATTAACCGGTCACCCCAATACAATTTAAAAATAAAGTAACATTGTAGAAAGAAAAACAGTGGGCATGCCTTTATTTATGCAAGGAATGCATCATCCATATTTAATTATTCTAAATTCATTGAAATAGTTTATTTGGTTTTTCAAGGATTTATTTGAACAAAATTTGAGTTGGCAGTATGGCATTTCTATTTATTTCCTACTCAAGCAGTAAAGATATTTAGTATAAAAAGTCAGGTGCTAGGTGCAATGCTTAAATATTGTGGAAATGTTGATACATGAATGAATGAAATATACTAATGAATTCTTATTAACAGACAATAGTATCAGATTGTTCCTTTGTTGCATCACTGGCTATTAGTGCAGCTTATGAAAGACGATTTAATAAGAAGTTGATTACCAGGTAAAAATTTATATTTGTTTCTTTAGCCCTTTTCATGTAATTGTCTTAAATAGAAATTTAAAATGTAGACCTTTTTGGCTTAGAAAGTAACAAGAGTGAATCACTCAGAATATTATGGCCATTATGTGTTAAGCAGATGATTTGTGAATGTGAACAAGTTTGCTAAAACAGTGTAAGAATGTATGTGCATGTAGTTAATATATGAAGAATAAATATGTCTTGAAATAAATGAAATTGGTCAAAGTAAAATTAAGTCATGTTTATAATTTCACTCGCAGTCCAGGTCCCTCAGCCCAGATTGCATGAGGGCACAGGCCAGGCTGAGGGACTCCACTGGGGCATAATCAGGGCCAGAGAGGAATGCGGGAGGTTGGCCAGCTGGGGAGGGACAGCAGGAGGGCTCCAGGGCGTGTCCGGCCCATCTCGTCTCGCTCAGTCCCCATCAGCTGGACCCCAGCAGCAAGCTAACCTACCGGTCGGAGCATCTGCTCCCCTGGTGGTCCGTGTACATCATAACGACCGGTCAACCAGTCAACTGTCTGCCCCCTAGTGGTCAGTGCACGTCATAGTAAGCAGTTGAGCAGCCTTAGCATATCATTAGCATATTACACTTTGATTAGTTGAATGGGTGACCGGACACTTAGTATGTTAGGCTTTTATTATATAGGATTGTACTGTATGATAGCCACTAGCCACGTGGATATTGAATACTTAAAATAGCTAGTCTGAATTGAGATGGGCTGTGAATGTACAATAAAATGAGTCAGATTTTGAAAACTTAGCACACAAAAATATATGAAATAGGCAAAATATTTAAAATTTTTATATTGTAAAATTATATTTTGGAGATGTTGAGTTAAGTGAAATATATTAAAATTACTCTAACATTTAATATAAAATATATGTAATATGAAATAACATTTCTTTTGACTGAAACTGCTTTAGAATGTACAGAAATGTTACTGAAATTTTGGGGGGGTATTTTTTTAATTTTTATTTGCTTAAAATTATTTATTATAAAAATTAAGCTTCAGAATTTTTTCAATACAACTTTTCCTGAGTGGTTTTTGTGTGTTAAATCCTGAAAGTATAAAGGTGAATTAGATACAGACCTTAGTTTCAAGCTATTTGCCATCTTGGATAAGCATCATACATATAAATAATGTGTGAAAGAAAATTGATACTGATTGTTTTTACAAGTATCTTATTGGATAATTTTGTATAACTTTTATCATTGTTGTTTTAATTTTATCTCTATCAGAGTTGTAGTTTGTTGCCTTAGTTGTGGTTAATTGAAATGCTCTTTACTTCTTGGGGTCAATAGTAGATTATTTTATTTGGCTTAAAATATGTCCTCTTAATAGAAAATTTATTAGAGTATATAATTTAACACTGAGCATTTTCATGAATATTTTGAAATTTATTCTCTGCTGTATGATCTCATAATATACTTTATTCATTTATTTACATTAAAAAAAGCACTTTGATTAGGGGGAACTTTTTTTCTAGGCCTACTATAGAAAAATATTCTCATGTTTATTTTTATCAAATTGCCAAGACAGTAGCACATGTCTATAATATTCTGCATAGTAGTTACGTTGAATATTAATGTTGGTATTTCGATATTTATTTTCTTTACAAAAGCATAATTTACCCTCAGAATAAGGATGGTGAGCCAGAGTATAATCCATGTGGAAAGTATATGGTAAAACTTCACCTCAATGGTGTCCCAAGAAAGGTGAATAATATGTCTGTCCACTCCTATCTCTTCTCTCTCTCTCTCTCTCTCCCTCCCCCTTCCCTACATTTAAATATTGAATAGGATCATTAAGAAATGTTACTTTTATAAACATCTTAAAAACATGTAAGCATTTTAACATTTCATTGACTTTGAATCTGATATGCATACTGCTATCAGTAACAAATGTTAATAATTTAAAAAAAATAATCATGACAAGAATAAAGTTTTTTTTTTTTTAATGGTTTTGGGAAATTTATAGAAAGTTCCAAAAAGTAATTATTTTAGATACATTGTACATTTCTAGAATCCCTAATAATTTTGATGGTAGATTAATAGTATTTAGCATCTAATTAGCTAAAGGTTATTATCTCACAGGGAGATTAGTGTGAACTTGAATTAAAACATCATATAACATTTTTATTTTTATTTATTTTTTTTTAATATATTTCTTTATTGATTTCAGAGAGGAAGGGAGGAGAGAGATAGAATCATCAATGATAAGAGAGAATCATTGATTGGCTACCTCCTGCACGCCCGCTACTGGGGATCAAGCCTGCAACCCAGGCATGTGCCCTTGGCCGGAATCGAACCTGGGACCCTTCAATCCGCAGGCTGACGCTCTATCCACTGAGCCAAGCCGGGCAGGGCTATATAACATTTTTAAATTGATCAGATTCTAGAAATAGGAAACTGTCATTACCTTTAATAATAGGTATACCATGCTTTTTACTTTATCAGTATGAAAGCTTCTTTTTTTTAATAGAAAAGATTTTAAGATATTTTATACCAACTAAGGAAAGTACTGTTATCTTTCCCCAGGTGATAATTGATGACCAGTTACCTGTTGATCATAAGGGAGAATTGCTTTGTTCTTATTCTAACAACAAAAGTGAATTATGGGTTTCTCTCATTGAAAAAGCATATATGAAAGTCATGGGAGGATATGATTTCCCAGGATCCAATTCAGTAAGTAATATGATGATCCAAATACAGACTTACATTATCTTATATAACTATTTCAGATTTGAATGATTATAGATGCTATTTTGTTTAAAGGAAGTGAAAACAGATAACCTCTGAATCATGTTGATCAGTCACTTTACTATGGGAGTATCTATTTTCTTTTATAAGGTTAACACATTGTACAGTAAGTCCTCACTTAATGTCTTCCATAGGTTCTGCAACTTTAAGCAAAATGACATGTAACAATACCAATTTTACTATAGTCTAATTTATATAAATGAGAATTAAGTTCCTACAGCATCTCATCAACAGTAAAATAAAATGGTACTCAAGGGACTGCTGAATAGATTGAATATTGAGGAAAGCCTAAATGTAGGTGTCTGCTATTATGTTGGGATCTAGGAGCAATTTAATACAGTGTACATTTCCAAAAAGCCTCTTCAGATCAAAGGAGTGTGTCATATTGTCATGGTTCTATATATTTTTGTGATTTGTAAACTCAGATTCAAGGAGTTTTTGTTTGTTAATTTTTCCCAACCTTAACACAACCTGTAAAATCGAGGTATGTGCCAATGTCCTTTAATTCTATGAGGTAAATTACTGGGCTTACACCAGAAATTAGATTAGCATGACTTTCAGCCTTAACACGAATCATATTTTTAGAAAATGTATTTAACCTTTCTTAGCCTCTTTCCCTCTCGAAGAATGCCCAACTCTCAGAGTTGTAAAGATTAAATGATAAAATATGTGCATATCACTCGTCATGCTACCTGGATAATTTTGTTGCCTTCCTACCCAGCCTCCTTCATTCTTCGGGTGCTTATAATGCTAGTCAAAGAATGTATAGGTTATAGGTAAATGCAATAGTACATTAAAATTTTCTTCCCCACCTACATGCTCAATTGCCCTATCCTTCAAATATTCTTAGTTTATCTGTCTAATTCATTGCCTGGTAATCTACCCAATGCAACTTAGAGAATGAGAATATATGTAAAACATTAGAAAAGTAACTATGCTATCGTAAGAACTCATTAAATGGTAATTGACTATCATCATTAAAGCAGCTTTTTTTCTGTTATGTGTTTGGGGTTTTCATATTTATTCAGAGAAAGCAGTAAAGATTTTAGGAAAAAGATTGTAAGCTTGTGCTTAAATCCAGGTAGGAATGTGAGTTCTAAGAAGTTTATTACTGATAGAAAAAAAAAAAAATTAACTTCTGGTTTATTCCTGTCAAAATCATTATATCAAATCAGTAAGATTTAACAACTACCCTGGGGATGTATTTAGAGCTTGAAAAAAAGGTTGACAGTCCTGAAATGTGTTTAATGTTGCAGAATATTGATCTTCATGCACTGACTGGGTGGATACCAGAAAGGATTGCTATGCATTCAGATAGCCAGACTTTCAGTAAGGATAATTCTTTCCGAATGCTTTATCAAAGGTAAACATTTCTCTTTCTCTCTCTCCCTCTCTCTCTTCATAGTAAAAGGCTGTTTTGAAACTTCATACCTTATTTTGAATAGATATTACAGAGACTGCCCTTTTCCATTATTAGGGAAATTGTGTTTTTAGTCGGCTTCACTTATGTACTTGCTACAACCAGCCCTCAATTATACTCTATACTGATAGATACACAGTTAACCTGGGTTATAGATAGTCTAAAACATTTGAATCTGGAATATCTTAATATGGGAAAATTTTTTACTTCCTTAATACTTAACAATTTGAGGGAAGGTGGGAAAAGAGAAGTCTGAGAACATAAAGAGGAAGTTAACTGAAGCCTTAAATGCTGTGTAGGGGAGGGAGTGGCTGTTGCTCTTCAGTTCATTTCATAGAATCTAGAGCAGCGGATAGATACAGCCCCCTTTACTTCAAATCGCATTGGTAACATATAGGGACTGGAAAACTATAAATAATACACATTCATTAGTGAAACTAAAAAACTCAATGATTGATAATGAATATTACTTTGGAAGAAGTGCATTTGGCATTTTATGTCTTCATCTTTATTTGTAAATCATTTGAAAATTTAGCATTTGTTTCTTTCCTTCATTGATAGCTTTCTATCTGAGAATTAAGTTGTCTAAAACTGGGTGGGGTGGGGGATGTGATAATTTATCTCATAATTAGGCTGTGAAATGGAAATGTAATTCTTGTTAAAGTCCTTCAAAGGGTGTTGGGATTAGCTTATTTTTTAAAAGATTTTAAATTTGTGGAAATTTTCATGGGAACCATTAGACAAAAGGAAAGATGATGTGATCTGAGATTATAAATGTTTTTCCTTTAATCTTTGTCTATTGGGGTGATTCCAGGTTTCACAAAGGGGATGTCCTCATCACTGCATCAACTGGAATGATGACTGAAGCTGAAGGAGAAAAGTGGGGTCTGGTTCCCACACATGCATATGCTGTTTTGGATATTAGAGAGTTCAAGGTTTTACCTTAAATATTTTTCTATTTCTTGTTTGTTAAGACATTACAAGGATCCCAAATAATATATTGGACTTTAGAATACTGACAAATCAAGGTTTAGGCAAAGTTTTAAAAGCGTATCACCTATTACATTAAGCAACTTGATCTGTCATTGGGAATTATAAAAAGATGGGAAATGTAATGACAGTGACAACATAGATATTGGTGACAGCAGAAATACTATATACCTCTTTCTCTTTTCCATGCAAGTAGAAGAGTTGAGGTGAATACACGCCCCCAAGGTTTTGGGCAGCACATTGGTGTTGGTGTCAGTCAGTATTAGACTCTAGAGCAGCAGTCGCCAACCGGTGGTCCGTGAGGTCCGAAAGGTTGGTGACCGCTGCTCTAGAGCATAGTAGACATTCGGTACATACTTGAGAAAGGATACCAAAAATAAGATACCTGTGATGAAGAAACATGCCAGTGGGTTTGCAAGTGTTTCTTTCTCTTCCTGGTAGCTGTTGTATGCTTTCAGACCTCTCAGACCCTTTCTCTGTGCTCAGGTGTTGAAATGGTTGACTTCATTATTTTTCAGATTATTGATTATTTTTAACTGAAAAATGGATCTGTCCTATAGATTAGAAAATACAAAGGTTTTTAAGGAAGGATTTTTTTTCCTAATGACTTGGTACCTAAGCTGTCTAGTCACTGGGAAGTTTAACTAACAGTGTCTTTCAATTTCCCCTGCTTATAGAAAGAATCAGTGATCAATCAACAATTGTGATCAATCTTTATAGAAAGAATCAGTGATCAATCAACAATAACCGCTGTGTATCAATAAGACTGATTTTCTTAGTGGCCTGTGGAATTACATGAATTATGAAGGCTACAACATTTAAAAATTTATAGTTTCAAGGCTTTCTAAATCAGCCAGTTTTTGTAGAATTGTCTTCCTTTAAACATGACATAAAAATTGACTACTTAAAGAAAAAATAGAATTTATATGAATTGAATAAACTGAGAGGTTTGTTTATGGCAAATTACATTCTAAAACAAACACAAGCAAAATATTGGGAATAAAAGTCGCTATTAATATGTGTATATATATTGTTAGAACATTTTTTGAGGTAGGTATAATAGGTGACCAATATTGAGGTAGTGGCACAAGATTTAAATTTTAGATAATGAAACAGGCAATATGAAAGTAAGTTTGAGTTTGAGGAAAATTTCTGAGATGTAATTTACTTTGAATAATAAAACTGTTCTGAATGATCAAAGGAAACTAAACAAATAACATGTTTATGAGAATAATAAGCACCTCTGGTCTGACTTGAAAATAAAGCATTTCAAAATCCCTGATTGCCAGTAAAATAAGAATTTTAAATAGCCTTTTAAGTTAAAAATCACACAGCATCAATTCTTCATGGCAGTTATTCTGTAAAGATTGAGGCTCTTTAGAACATGTGTAGATGGAGTAAGCTGTGGCCTGGTGACAGGTTTCTTCACTCTTTTCTTCGCTGCTTCAGTCTTCACAGAGATAATCAGTAGAGGAAGAAGCTAAAGAGGATCTGAAAGGAAAGAGTTCAAAGGGATCAGAGAGGGCCTTCCAGGAAATGGAAACGACATGAACAAATGCCTTTAGAGGTGAAATTGAATAAGAATTATTTATGGGATTCTGAGAGGAAAGACTAGACTAGACAAAGATATGTGGGGTATGAAAATGGTGGGGCCAGTGTAGAGTAGGCTCTGAAAGAACAGGAAATACTTGATGCTCTAAGGCAGCACTGCCTGCAATGAAAATGTTCTCTGTGCTGTGCCATTCTTTAGCTACTAGCTACATGTGGTTCTTGAATACTTAAAATGTGGCTAGTGTGACTAGGAACTGATTTTTAAATTCTATTTAATTTCATTTTAAGTAGTCACTACCATATGAACTGCATAGGTCTAGGGATAGGGAGCCAGTTGCAGTTCTTGATCAGATGTGTGGCATGTGAAAGTGTTAAAGAATATTAATTTCAAATTTATTTGAAGAAAATTGATACGTATTCAAAATGCATCCTCCCTTAGAGAATGATACAATTTATGAAAATATGATAAAAACTGTTTTGCAACTTTATGTTATCTCCTGGTTTTGTTTTGTTTTTTGTTTTCGTTTTAATAGGGGCTGCGATTTATCCAGTTGAAAAATCCCTGGAGTCATTTACGTTGGAAAGGACGATATAGTGAAAATGATGTAAAAAACTGGACCCCAGAGTTGCAAAAATATTTAAACTTTGATCCTAGAACAGCTCAAAAAATAGACAATGGTAAATACATCTTTTTGTAATTTTAATACTATTTGATCTCTAAATAACATGCTTTAATAATGTGAAATGTGTTTAACTGACAAGTCATTTATCATTAAGATATTTTTAGATTAATAAAGATATCTAATTTTTAGGAATATTTTGGATCTCGTGGGATGATCTCTGCCAATATTATGATGTGATTTATTTGAGTTGGAATCCAGGTCTTTTTAAAGAATCAACATGTATTCACAGGTAACTTCTGTGCATATTTCAGAATATGCTTTAAAGTAGTCTTCACATTTTTTATTTAAAATAAAATGATTAATTTAGGAAGACTAGTATTCTCTCCTTTTGTCATTCCCCAAAATGACTATCATGTAATAGTTACTTTCTTTATATATGCTTCTTAGTCATGCCAGAAACTGTAAAAACTAAACCTGATAACTTAATTATATCTGAAACACAACACTTCATTATTTCCTTCTTTGTTGACTTGATCTTTTAGTACTTGGGATGCTAAGCAAGGACCTGTGAAAGATGCCTATAGCCTGGCCAACAATCCCCAGTACAAGTTGGAGGTGCAGTGTCCACAAGGGGGCGCTGCAGTTTGGGTTTTGCTTAGTAGACACATAACAGACAAGGTACTGATACCCTTCTTATGATATTCCATATAGAAACTCCTTTAAAAATAGACTGTTGTGAACAAAATATGTAATTTAATCATCAGCCTGTTTTATTTGTATGGGTGGCTTGAAAATGGTATTTTCTTAGATAAATGAATATTTTCCTCTAAGGAAATTTATCATTTGTAATCATACTCTTAGAAGTTTTATTCAAAGATCATCTCTGAAGAGCCCTAGCCAAGAGCCCTAGCTGGTTTGGCTCAGTGGATAGAGTGTCAGCCTGCTGACTGAAAGGTCCCAGGTTTGATTCTGGTCAAGGGCACATGCCCAGATTGCAGCTCGATCCCCTGTAGGAGGTGTGCAGGAGTCAGCTGATCAGTGGTTCTCTCTCATCATTGATGAATCTCTCTCTCTCTCTCTCTCTCTGAAATCAATAAAAATGTATCTTTTAAAAAAATCATCTCTGAAGAAAAACATGAGGGAGTTTATGCTGTTAGTGAGGATTTTCGTGTTGATTATATATGCTTTGGGTCTTTAAATATTAAATTAAAATGTGTTATACGGGGAGTTGGAAATTTGAATCATTAGGCCCGATTCTGTAAAGGGTAACCATATTTTAGTAGCTTTAGAGTCTTTTTAAATATATTTTTTTCATACAATATGGTCAGTCTATTGGAATGACAATTTAATCCAGAAAAATAATTATTTTAATCGCACAAAGTAGCTGAAATAAATTCTTTTAAAATTAGAGCTTTTCTTCCCCCCCCCCCCCCCCATTAAGAGCCTTTGAGCCCATTTCCTTAACCATATTGGATTCTTTGTGCTTTTAGGATGATTTTGCAAATAATCGAGAATTTATCACAATGGTTGTATACAAGACTGATGGAAAAAAGGTGTATTATCCAGGTATGTTTAGTAGGCAAAAATTCAAACAAACATTAAATTTTTATTGATATGATTAAGTAGAAAATTACATTTTATGGAGGTAATGTACAGGAAAAATTATGCTGATAGATTAATAGAAACCACTCAAATAGATGGTTATTTATGCTACATGTGTTTTGTTTTCATTTGTTTTTAATAGAGTCCTCAGAAATTTGGGAGTTCACATTGCTGTAAGAGTTTTATTTCTAAATCTTAAGTCATATCTTCTTTGTCTGATCAAAAATTCTATGGTTTTCCATGGACTCTTGGATAAAATCCGAGCTCTTTATCCTGCTATATAATTCTGGCCTTAACTTTCCTGTCACCCTTTATCTCATGCACCCTCCTTTCACAGTACCCTCATTGAGGTACTCCTGAACACATTGTGCCCTTGTTGCACAGGCATTTGAAGAGAGCACTGTATAAAATCATCTATGGAGAGGGTTGTAGGTACAGAGATGATCACCCAGGACCTGACCCTTGAATTCTGTCATCCTAAGATTAAGCAAAAGATTTTGAACAGAGTACCTGATGAAATAGTAAGGTTTCATATAATACAAGAGAAGAAAATATTTCATGAGGGAAAGAGTGGCCACTACATCCATTATTGAGAAGAGACATTGGAATTAGCATCATGGCACTCATTGTTGATCTTGACAGGAACAAACTTGGAAGAGAAATAGTGTGGTTTGAGAAAAGACTGTGAAGTAAGGGGCAGTTGTTGACCGTTCTTTCAAGAAGGCTGTGCAAAGAAACGGGCAGTGTTGGGGGAGATGGGATCAGAAGTTGAGGTTTGTTTTGCTTAATCATAGAAGAACATGGCATTCTGCCCCATCACACTGTGTGTCATGGCATTGATATTAGCAGTCAGTATCCCTAGATATTCTTGAATGGGCATGGAATATAGTACTCCAATGATAAATGTGTGGTTAAACCAGCCAAATTTTCCATTTTCACATGTTGGTCATTATACAGCCCAAAAAGTGTTGTGAATATGTTCCTAGTGTTACAATGTTACACTGCTTTTGAATTTCAAATATATGTTACCCTTTTTACTTGGATCTGTTTTAACCCTTTGCGATCCAATGTTATTTTTGGAATTCAAACAATCTGGTCCAAATTAATTGATGGGATTGAATGTTGAACTTTTTAATGTTCTTATTGCTCGACGTTGGACCTGCTCCTAGCGCCTGGTCTGTCGAGTCAGCCTCGAGGTTGGACCGAAAAGGGTTAACAATGCTCCCTCTCTTCCACATAGTGATTTTTGCCTTTGCAAGGTATTCCTAGTTTGTAATTTTATTTTTATCATAGCACTCAGATCAATAGAACAGGCCTTACTGTTCCCCTTTGGACAGAAGAGTAAACTGAGATATAGAAAGGTTTAAAACCTTGTCCAAGATCAGAGATAATGCCCATTCTTTTCCTTTTCACACTAGATTACACACCTCTAAGCATTAGAAACCTATTACCTGTCTGAGATTCTAAAATGTTTTTCTGCCCTAGGCTGTTTGGCTCAGTGGATAGAGCATTGACCTGTGGACTGAAGGGTCCTGGGTTCGATTCCGGTCAAGGGCATATACCTCAGTTGCAGGGGTTGCAGGTTCCTGGCCCTGGTTAGGATGTTTGCGGGAGGCAGCCAATCATTGTGCCTCACATTGGTGTTTTTCTCTCTCTTTCTCTCTCCCTCCCTCCCTCCCTCCCCCCCCCACCTCCCTCCCTCTTTCTCCCTCTCCCTCTCCCTCTCTCTTCCACTCTAAAAAGTCAATGAAAAAATATCCTCAGATGAGGATTTAAAATAAAATGTTTTTTTAATAGATCACATTATAAATAGTCAGTGTTCCCAAGTAAGCCAAGTGATATAGCACTGATCTAAAATGACCTATGGTAATGCAGATATATGAAATGATTTTATGTCAGCTTTGATTGATGAAATTAATAAAAGTATGTATCAGGCAGCATTGTAATAGCAAACTGTTGGAAATAATCTGAATATTCAGATTGTCTGGATAACTAAATGTGGGTATAGATAAAATGTGTTATATTCATACAATAGAATATTATAGAGGCAGTTTTAAAAGAAATAAACCATATCTAGAACAGCATGGATTTCAAAAACATGTTGAGTGAAAAATAAAGATATAAAAAAAGACATACAATCCTTTTTTAAATATATGCTCACAGATAACAATTACCCATTCATTCCTTTGGGGGGCAGGGGGAAGTGGGTGTTAAAGTTTGAAAAGATGTCCCATCATCAACTCCCTCAGAGTGGAATGGAATAAGACTAAGGGTGGTGGTTTAAAGGGACTTTGCTTTATAAGAAAGCTAATATAGAAAAAAATTTTAATTCCAAGTAGTGGGGAATATAGACACATTTTTCATTACTTCTTTGTATCTTTTTAAAAATTTTCTCTAAAGAAAATAAGCAAATCCTGAAGGAAAGCAGCATTAGGGCAGAGAGCAGGGATTATCCTATATATCATTGAATGTATTCTAAAAGATTGCTTTTGCTTTATTAGAAACATTATTTTTAAAGTTTCAAATTTATTTATAAAGTTTTTAGTTGAAATTGTAATTCTTTAGTAACATTATATTTAGAGATAGAATCAATTAAGGGGATGTCCATTCATTTAAGTATTTTTCCTACCATCAACCATAAAACTTAAATTTAAGTCTCCTTACTGTAAACCCACTGGTTTATTGCAGCTGACCCGCCCCCATACATTGATGGGATTCGAATTAACAGCCCTCATTATTTGACTAAGATAAAGCTGACCACACCTGGGACCCATACCTTTACATTAGTGGTTTCTCAGTATGAAAAACAGAATACAATCCATTACACAGTCCGGGTAAGTAAACCAACATACAGTGACAAAACAATAATATAAAATATTATGTGCTCTGCTTTGTAAGTGGGATTATCTACAGAAAAAGTTTATGAAAATTTATGTATTTTTATGTATATGTGTATTTTTATTTTTATGTGTTTATATGTGTATCAATTCAATATTAAATTATTATGTTTCCTGTATAAAATAATGCTTTTGAAAAGTAATCTTTTAATTTTGCATAACATTTTCAATGAGCATTTTTTTTCCAGAGTAATAGTTTGTTTAGTCCTGAGGTAATGTGGTACATTGGACTAATAAATTTACGGAGCAAGCAATAGAAACTCCTTTAGCCTACATAATACCTTTGCTGACTTGAAAAAGAAGATGCTGAATTTAGTGGAAGGGAATTGATTGCCTATAAACATTGCTCTTACAAGTTGGGAAGGTCATTGTAATTTTGTTCTGCATAGATTTGTATGCCAAAGATCAGTAAAGAAATTCACTTAGAATAGATTTTTTTGTGATGAAAGGGACATTGGGGAGCTGCCTTCACTCTTCAGATGCAGAAGACAAACCCTACAGAAATTGTGATTTGGTCTGAGTCACACACAGTGCCAGAGAAAGTGAATACCAGATCCCCTAGCTTCATTAAACCAGTCTTGATTCCAGGCTGCCTACAGAATATGCCTTTTATATGTGTCAACTAATTTATTAGACTTCCAATATATTCTTTTCTCACTTTGGTATTTTTATAAGTATAAATTTTATCAGTACAATAATTTTTTTTTTTAATCTAGGTATATTCAGCATGCAGCTTTACTTTTTCAAAGATTCCTTCACCGTACACCTTATCAAAGCAGGTAAGAGAAATGTCTCTGGGTCATGATCTCAGAGAAATCTTATAATTCCCTTTTTCTCTTTTTCTGTTTTCATCACATTTAACAATTTCTTATAAAATAAAATAGTCCAGAGCTTGAAAGGAATAAGGAAAATGTAAATAGCCTCTATCCGATCTGAGTTGGAATACAAGATCTTCAGTAAGCAACATTGATTCTGTGGGCAGAAATAAGAAATTGAAAGATTACTATAAACCTTTGTCATTAGGGAAAGCCATGTGGATGAGCCTCTTAAATTGAGGGTTGACTTTACAGGGTGGGCTAGATGTATAGAGGATGTGAGGGAGAATTACTGGCAGGGAGAACAACTTGATTTAAAGCTGAAAGATGGAGATAGTGCTTAGTATAGCAAAGTAGCCTGGCTGGAATGAAGAGTGACGTTGACTGTCACTGTAGGTGACAAAGACTGGGGGGAGAGGGTGGGGCCAGAGTGGGGAGTTGCCATCTTTGAGGAGATGGGGGTGGGGGGGCCGGTTTGTGAAGGAGTTTTCTCTTTAACATAGAATTGGAGAATGTGAAGTTTGTTAATGCACGGACTTTGTTTTGTTAGATTCATGGAAAGTGGAGTGGTCAGAGTGCTGGAGGATGTGCAAATTTCCAAGAGACTCATAAAAATAATCCCATTTACCAATTCCATATAGAAAAGACTGGGCCATTACTAATTGAACTAAGAGGACCAAGGTTTGTGATGAGTAACTTTCTTAATGTTATATTAAAAATGAGCTTAGTAAAACAGAATAGGGTTTTGAAACAGACCTATGCATATATGAATGTTTGAGTTATGTTAAAGATGCTATTGCGTAAGGGTGGGAAAAGGATACTCTGTTCAATAAATGGTGCTGAAATAATTAGAGTATCCATGTACCAAAATTGGTAATTAAGACCCCTTTCTAATATCAGATTGCAAAATCAGTTCCAGGTGGATTACTATAGGAGCTACCTTAATAAAAATATTTTTACATGTGCTACATTAGTGGAAAAAAAGTCTACAGTTTTAAAATAAAAACTTAAACAGGCATGTCATAAAAAAGATAATCCAAATGGCCAGTAAACAATTGTAAGCCAAAAATTTGAAACAACCCAGATGTATATCAGTGGCACTTAAGATTATAAAATAGTCCTACATAACAATGAAAATAAATTATAGCTACCCACTACATGATGGATAAGTTTTAAAAATAATGCTGAAAAACAGAAGCCAAACATAACAATATATATATATTACATGAAGTCAAGAACAGGCAAAATTAAACTTGTTTAAGGATGCATACTTTGATAGTCACACTATATACAAAGCAAGAAAGTGATTGAAAGTTTTGTGGGCACAGGCGTTGTGATGAGAAAGGTGGATACAAGGGAATTCTGTGGTGCTGAGAGGTTCTGTTGATTTAGGTGGTAACCCATAGTTTACAAACTATGTCATTGTAATATATTTTACAATTTTAAAAGGTTTAAAAACTAGAGAATACAAATTAAAAAATAGTACTAAATAAAACTAGGCTTAATTGTGCCTGCTTTACAAATTCAAAAGAAACTAATTCTAATAGGACTAAGCTACTTTTCACAATCATTTTAAAAACCTTTACCAGTCTTCTAGGTGATAGAAGGTATCTAATTACCCTTATGTATTTAATTTCTAGATAGATTGAACATGTAAAAATACTTGACAATGTGTATTTTTTCCTATTTTGCTAATTCATGTCTTGCCCATTTTTCTGTTGGAGTTGTCATGTTTTTCATAGGGTATATCTGTAAGAACATTAACTCCTTCATATATTTGCAAGTATTTTTCCCAGATAAATAGAAAAAAAAAAAAAAAACATTTTAAAGTAATCAGTCTTTTCTGGTTTATTTTGCTGTGGGCAGGAAATCTCACCCAAATAGTAAGTTAATTTTCACTGTATTTTCTTCTGGTTCTTTTTATGATTTTTATTTTTTACATTATACTTTTAATCCATGTGGAATATATTTTTATATTTGGTGTGAGATGCAGTTCAATTTTTTATCACCTCATCATTACTGTGCATCTTGGGCAACTAATTCCTAAATAATACTTCCTTTCCATACTGATTTGGAATGCCATGTCTACCATATGCTAATTACTTTGAGATTTTTTTCAGGGTCTTCTCTCTTGTCCCACTTGTTCTGCCTAATACAATGACAGTATTTTTATCATTTCAATTTAACATTATTATCTGGGAGCCTATAGTAAAATGTAGTCTCTTCTAAAGTAAGCTTAATGTATTAATCTTTATGGCTGCAATTTTAAAATAGAAATGGTGTTTTCTATAATTAGTGTAAAAATAGTACGCATGTGTTTCAGTGTAGGAAGCTTCCTCCTGAAGCTTTGGAAAGCCTGTACTTGACTTCAATAGTACATCTGCACTTTAGGTATGCTTACTTTTAGGTCTGTATTTGAGACTACTTAGCAGTAATTCTGTTTCTTTTTACTGCTAGGCAGTATAGTGTTGGATTTGAAGTTGTAACGGTGTCTGTGGTGGGAGACCCTGGTCCCCATGGCTTTCAGAGGAAATCTAGTGGTGACTACAGGTAAGGTTGGCATTTTGATTATATTTGATTTCTACTTTGCTTATTGTGGCATCATCTTCTGTAAGCCTTGTTTTTATTTTCCCTAAATACAGGTGTGGGTTTTGCTACCTGGAATTAGAAAATATACCTGCTGGGATTTACAATATCATTCCCAGTACATTTTTGCCTAAACAAGACGGACCTTTTTTCTTGGACTTTAATAGTATTATTCCCATCAAGACAACACAGCTTCAGTGATGGGGAAATGGCTGCACTTACTGGATTTTATACTTACCAAACAATCAACTCTTCAAATGAAGACACAAATCTGCAGGACACTAAACAGTAAGAACAGAATTAATTCTCTAAAAATGTTACAGTGGAATCCGGTGCTCAAGTCGGAGTGCTTAGTGAGAATTGTATATAGACAGAATTGCCATAAATTACTTTAGAAGTACCACTTACATGGTTTTGTGTGTCTGTGAATTGGCTTGCATTTAAAAGGGGCCACAGTGTATTTAAAAAGTGCAGATGATTAAAGTTTATACTCAATCGCACTGTGATATGATTTTGCTAAGAGGGAACTGAGACCAGATGAGAGGGACATAGACTCATTGAATGGAATGGTAGGCTGGTATAATCTGAACTATTTACATTGTCTTTCTGGCAGAGCATGTTGTAAGGTAAAACCTGCTTGTATTGTGACTCTACTGTGCATCTTGGGCAACTAATTACCAAATGAATTATAGTCACCATTACAGATTTTAATTCTGCATTACTTATGGCTTTAAATGTTTGTTGCCCAGATGTTATGAGAGAATAAAGCTTTAAGAAATACTAATTAGCTTAGCATGAAGATGCTCATGCTTAAGAGTGAAGGTTGTTAAAGTTAGTACCTGTCTCCCATTGAATCATGTAAAGAGAACTGAAGTATATATACTCGCTGTTGCAGTCATTTTTTATCAGGTTAACGAAAGTAGTAGTCTGAGACATTGAAGACATCACTGTTTAGTTGGTACTTTTTAATTGCTCTCTAGTTGAGTGTTTTTAATGGTAACAGCACTGTGGAGAAAATACATTTGAGTATTTAATATATTTTAATTGGGATTGCATTCGGAGAAATTGCCAAGATACTAATGTCTTGTGTGTAAATTCCCAGTTGTTTACATAAAAATCCATCAGAGCAGAATGATGCTCAAGATTTTAAAGATCTGAAAATAAGGTGGTATTTTACATCATCTCTTACAATTATCAAACTTATTTTGTATTTGATACCTTTAATTGAAATAAAATGTTTATACTTATGGAAACTGTGTAGTTTAACCTAGAGAAATTGATTATTAAAGGACTTCATCAAGTATGTTCCATGTAAAAGATTAAAGAACTCATTACTTGCTTGAAAAGTCATACTTTAAAAAAATCTGTTCTTTATCGTTCAGGACAGGGGTAGATTATTATACTAGTGGGAATTCTCTTTGGTAAATATAAGTAATTTTCTATGGCCTTTAATATAAACATATATATGATTTGAACTTCTTGTGTTAAAAAATCTTACAGGATGCAAACTGAATTAAGTTCTAATCTCTGCCCTCAAAAATCTAATGGAGGAGACCTGTTTATGAGCAAGTTAATGTATTATAATGTTGAATTCTATAAGAGAGCTCCAAACACAGTGCTACGGAAGGGAAATTATTCATTTTGGCTAGACCAAATAGAATAGAATCATCTGGGGAGCTTTTAAAAACCCAAGCATACCCCAACAATTAAATCAATCTCTAGGGCTCAGACCAGAGAAGTATTTTAAGCTTTGTAAGAGATCCTAATGTGCAGCAGAAGTTGAGAACCACTTTTCCAATATAACCACCTTGTCCCTAATTGCTCAGATTTGTAGCAGCAAAAGTAGAATTTGAATTCAAACCTTGGTAAATGGGGGCTTAAATTATTAAGATCCATAACTTTAATTGAAAATAAGAACAGATGACCACAGCATTCCATGCTCTTCCTATGGCAAGAAATTTGCCTAGAATAGAAGATAAGGATTTCTCATTTGAAGTCATAGAAAGTTGTCATTTTCTTAAGTGGTTTTTATTACACTCAAGGTATTAAGACAAGTACAAAATAACCTTGTAATTAAGATACTGTATTAGTCATTAAAAAAGGAGAAAACACTACAGTATGAAGAGATTTACAAATGACTAAAACATACAAGTTGTGACAGAATTAACGAACAACTTGAAATGGGGTTGCTTTTTTCCTTTTAAAACAAATAAAATACAGTGTTCTTAAATATGTATAGCCTTGAAAACATTAAAGAAAAGCAGTCTTAACTTACTATTAGAATAACAGACTCCATTGCATCTATTTAACAGCCTTTGCCAACACATGCCTACTCCCTTTCCTAGCTTTATGAGACAGTTTCCTCTAAGAAATACTAGCGTAGCATAACCCTTAAATAATTTTTAAAGTTACAACCTACAGAGAAAGTAACACCTTGTCAATCTAGAATAACAGTGGCAACCATTCGTCACATGCACTTCTCTTAGAATAAGTCCCCTTGGCTGGTAGGATAAGGTTTATGCTATAGAACCTTTTCTTCCCCAACCACAAATCTCTTTCTATGATATGTCCTTGCTACCCTCACCTCCCCGACCCCCGATCCCAACATTGGCATTCACCTTTCCCACCCCAAAAAGTGCAGTTCATGGTAACCTTTATAGAAAATGGTGTTCATGGGTATTTTAACATACATACTTTTTTTAAAGCCCCTTTCGAACATCAGAGATGATAAAAAATGAATTACGTTCTTGGATTTTTTTAAGCCTTCACTGGGTCAAAAAGGTATGTTCTGAATATCTGAATTTTGTCTTGCGTTCTGTTTTCATTTAGACGCCCTAAGATATAAAAGGAGAGAACATCTCTATTTTCCCAACTGGGGGTGAGAGAAGCAAGCTGTTGGGCTCACCTTCCCAGCCCCTTTCTTGCTCGGGTTCTTTTGTGAGAACTAGTTATTGCTTCCATAACACTGTTACAGTTAATGTTCCACAAAGACTGCCCTGGTCACAGCCCACCTGCAGCAACAACTCTGCTCTGAAAACAAACCAGCCCAAGAGCTCTTACCAGAGGAAAAATCTTCAGCCTTAAGGTCTCTGAAACCTCCCTGGTGCAGTTCAGAGTAAACACTTACGATTTGGCATATATTAAAGGGTCATTGGCACAATGTTCTCCAATCAGTTTCTCATATAAATAGTGGTGTGCACTGGGGCCAGGATCTTGGTTGGATCAGCCTATCTGCACCATTTTTATGTCAGCAATAATCCCATCTCGTCCCTTTGTGCACTGGAGGGAGAGCTGCTTCATCCTGTTTGCCAAGGCCTGGCCCTCAGGGGAGGTGCTGCTCTGGCTCTTGCCACCATCACTGCTGCTGTTGCTAAGACTCCGATTGTTGTTGGCTTTGTCACTTGTTTTATTCTCTGCCCCTTCTGCTCTGTCTCCTATAGAAATGTAAAGATTAAGTGAGTGTCGACAATTCCAAGAGTCACTTAGGCCCAAACTAATCAGCCAACTTAACCCTCTAGAATTTCCCAGTGTTGCCCAACACATATATATAACAGAGGGTTCTCCATCATATAAGCTGCTTTTATTCCTCAGAGCGTTTTCTATTTTCCTTATTTTTAGAGATGAAAATTGTCATATTCGTTTAATAGCTGGGAAACAGAAATCTCTAGCATGTGCTTGTCAAGAGGACTGTTGTGATGAGAGACAGAACCCACGCTATGGAGCCGGAAGCCCCCAGAACAGGACTTGGAAACTATCTCAGTGATAAACACCGACAGCACATTCACACAGCCCTGGGGGCTCCAAGACCTGGTCACGGTCTAGAACAAGGTCTAGGACAGTGCAGAGATCTGGCTGCAAAGGCAGGGTCACCCGGGACAGCACTACTGGTGAGAGGGCTGCAACTCACCTCGTTCCACCTCACACTCCGGGGAGGAGGCCCCGCTGCATTCACTGCGAGGGCCTAATACTGGAAACATCACTCCAAACTCTGACAGGGACACAGGGCTGGGAAGATCCAGGCTGCCGGGCCTCACAACTGCAGAAAACTGGTCGGCCATCCCAGATGGGCTCATGGGTCCTGAACTAAAGCTGGACACAGACTGGGTCTCCGAGTCATCTTCAGACACAAAGGTGCTGCAGTTGTCATCTTCAAAGGCCTCAGAGGCCACTAGGATGAGAGAGAACACCAGTCACACAGGTTCTGATAGCAGCCTAATTCCTTAAACACCTCCAGAAGCGTTTGCTGCTGCAGACAGCTAGACACAGCATGGGGACTGCAGAATCCCTGCCACTGTGGGTGCCTAACAAAAGGAACGTGACCCTCCCCAGCATGCACGACCAGACTAACGCAGCTAAAGGGAAGTGGCTGGCAGCTGGGTCCCATGCATGGTCAGTGTCCTGCAGTAATGTCATAGCCTGTGTGCCCTACAAGTTAGTGTCAGTAGACACTGCCTAAAGGTAGAAGATGAATTCAGCCACAGATCAGGGACTTTTCTCCACTCCTGTCCCCCCTACCCCCCAAAAGATCCACACTTGCACCGGAAGAGGGCTGGCCCTTTGTAAAGGATCCCCAGCAAAGCCAGTCAGACATCAAGGCTTTCCTCCACAACAGAAGCAGGAGCTGCTGGGAAAAACAGCCCTGCTTGGAATACCTGCTGGGACCTTTGCTGTCTTCCAGGTGACTTATCTCAAAAGACGCACTCAGAGCCTACCTAGGTCACAGTTTGCTGCAGAAGAAAATTCCTTCCCAGTGCTCTGTAATTGGACTTACTTTTAGACCAGAATAACCAAGGCCCAGAGACATGTCATTGTCATGGTTCGAAAGCCACTTCAGCCTTTAACTAGTTCCCTCTGCCTGCACATAATCCTGCTTATTAGATTTTTCCTCTTCTACTCCCCTTTCTTCCTCCCTCATCTTTAAAAACAGCCTTGTGGCATCCCATAGATGATTACCATAAATGAGAAATGCTGAAATGTTGGGGGCAAAATGGGCTCAAATCTGATTCCCAATCCTGTTTCCACTATTTGTTGTATAGCCTTGGTCAAGTTACTTAACCTCTGAGCTTCACATTCCTCTCCATAGAGGGTAAATGAGATGATGCATATCAAAGTCCTCATATTGTTGATTCTCAGATCATAGTTTCCTCTTCCTTTACTTGGGCCCCCACTTGAACATTTGTTGGGAAAGGAGCCTGGGAAAGAGCCACTGGGGACCACGGCACAGAAAGGAAGAGGAATTGTACAAAGACGGTGTTGGAGAGTTTTCATGGTTAACATAAAGGGAGCCACATCAAACCTCTAATACCAGTTTTCCTGGAAAAGGGCTCTCTATGGTCAGACACCAGTGACAGCCACCACTGTGGAATGTTAATTTCATTAATCCTTACCACCACTCTACAGTAGAGAGTAGGTACTACCATACTCCCCATTCTGCAGCTGAAGAAAGAGATAAAAGATAAATCCTTGCCTGCATCATGTGCTCGTAATGATGGGAAGGTGAGGATGTGAATCAAACCTAATTCCAGAGCCCTGTTCTTAGCTCTTTCCTGCAGTGCTTCTCAGGCCCTTGTGTGTTGTAGTATGCACTTTGAACCTCAGAGAGGAGTGAACATATGACATTTTTCCCAAACTTACTTGACCAGAGAATCCTGATTTTGAGGAACACAGCGTTCCACAAAATGTGGTAAGTCACCAGAAATAGCCCTCGGTCCCGCCCAAGTGAGGCTCTTCTGTGATGGGGAAGACGGCCCGAAGCTGACCACACAACTTGCATACGAGCCCCCGACTCACCAGAAACAGCATCTGGCTCGGGTTTGCTCTCGGGCAGGTCCCCTGCAGATGTGCTGCTGCCCTCAGCGCCCACGCCGCAGCCCCGAGGCCCCATGGCGCTGGAGCGCCGCCGCTCGTGTATCTCGTCCGAGATCATCTCCAGGTTCTTCAGGGCCGTCTTGTACTCGCCTTTTGCCAGGGCCAGTTTGGCCTGCAGGTCGTCCACGGTCTTCTTCAGTTGCTGGTCAGGAGAACAGGAGGCTCAGTAAGTGAAGGCTGCCCCTGCCGGCCTTGGGATGCTTTTGAATGGCAGGTCCAAGCATGTTTTCTGCCCATCACTCCACTCCAAGACATGACCGAGGATCTGATTATTCCTATCAAAGCTGTCTGTGTACCAGATATAAAGCAGCCACTACCACTTCCAACTCCCATCTGGGTAACAAACAAGCTCCATATCCAGAAACTACCACTGGCAGAACAAGCCCAATCAGGGAAACAACAGTGGGTGTCAGATTCACACAGAAGTCCCACATTCTAGCCATTTGGTCCCCAGCACTGTGGTTCTCGAACTTGTACCAGAATGCCCTGGAGGGCTCTTGTATCAGAATACCTTGTTAGAGCTCACACGGCTGGGCTCCATTCACAGTGGGCGTGGGGAACGACTTAGCAATTTGTACTGTTAACAAGTTCCCAAGCGATGTTGATGTTACTGGTCCTAGGAGCATACTGAGAACCACTGCCCAGTACAATATAGAAAGTGACTAATCAGCAGATGCAGAGAACGTCAGAGACCACGCAAGACCATTTAGAGGCCTGAAAACTCAATAAAGAATGTCTCTCCACTCTCCTCTTGTAGCGAATGAGGTATTTGAAAGTATCACAAAAAGTGGGGCTTTGCATAAAAATCCCATCACCAACAAAACCAAAGGCCACACATACCTCAAGCTGCATGTAGTACTTTGCCTTGAGTTCAAAATAAGGCCTGTGAAAGACAGAAAAAACAAGAGTGACATAACACAGTGAAACTCCATGAGGTGTGCAAGGCTAGGTCGTCCACGAGCTGAAGGTGGTGCTCCCAGCTCTGGGGCCTGATGGATACAGATGCCAGTCAGAGGCACTGGGCTCACTCAAGATTTGGGGAATCCACACATGTACACAGGTCCTGGAGCCCCTGCATCCTGGTTCACTTTCCTCTCTGGGGAGGCTGCTTAAGGTCACAGGTTGTGCCCTGCAGCTAATGTGGCCCGGATCTCTTCTAAGGAGGTGGGCTCCCCAGGGATGACCAGCAGATAAGACTGGATAAGGGGCTGTCTCAAACACCCTCTTCGAAAAGCTGGGTAAGGGGGAAGCACCAGTCCTCCCCCGACAACACAGCAGAGCCACTGGAAGGACGGGCTCAGGTTGCTCCCCTTGGGCTTTGTCCAGGATAGAAGTATGAGCTGGTCTACAGACCCAACTAGGTCATGGGCAAGAGCAAGAACAAGAAATGCAAACATTATACTAGTCCCCTGGGCTCTTGGTCAGCCAGAAGACCCTGGCTCTTTTTAGTGGCTCTGGCGCCTGAGCATGAGGGGTAGACCAATGCTTTACTCTTGATTTGTTCACCTGCCGTGAAGCTCTGGGACTGTCTTTGGCTGTTGGGTCTAGGCCAGTGGTCAGCAAACTCATTAGTCAACAGAGCCAAATAACAGTACAATGATTAAAATTTCCTTTGAGAGCCAAATTTTTTAAACTTAAACTATATAGGTAGGTACACTGTTATTAACTTAATTAGGGTACTCCTAAGGCTTAGGAAGAGCCACACTCAAGGGGCCAAAGAGCCGCATGACAGCTCATCTCCACTCTGACAGATAAACAGGCCCAGCCAATGGGCCATGGAATGGTTTGCTTTTGAAATTCCTTTTTCTGTGTTCCCCAGGAGCGGCCCCCAACTCAGCATTTGTCCCTCTGGGATAGGAAGCCTGGGCAAGAGGTTCTGGTGAGGCAGGTCCCTGAGTGCAGGGCACATAAACGGTTGAGAAGATGCGGAAGAAGAGAGCACCATATGGCCTCGGACCCTTATACCCAGACTCACTTGGATTTGTTGATGGCTCTCTTGAGTTTCTTCTCCAGCTGCCGCATGCGGCCCATGGCCGCGTTGTACCTGGCTGCCGTCTCCTTGTGCACCAGCTCGCTCCTTGTCTTGGTGTGCTCTGCCTCCATGACCTTCAAACAACAGAAGAGGTCAACCCAGCCAAGCCCAGAACAGTCCCTTGTTGGGGTATATCATTTTTCTAAAATATCCTTTGAGTAAATTAATGGGCAGGCTGAATTTAACTTCCAACGCGAACAGGATTGCTTCATCCTATTTTTCTATTTTGGAAAAGTCTTTGTCAGGACTAAATAGCCAAATTGGCTGTGGCAATGACCAAGAAAGAAAACAAGGAAAAACAAAAATACAATAAAAATGAAGCATTCTCTGATTCAATCAACATCCACTTCCTTCTGCTCAGGCCTCCTGGGTCTAAATAGCTTGAGTTCCTGCTTCCACCTTGGGGCAGGCAAATCGGCAAATAGCACCAGTGGGATTTTAGACATCAAAGAACTGGGATACCTAGCAAAGCAGGCATGACAGCATCAGGACAAGGCAATTACCCTTGTTGTCCAGGATAATTATGAAGTGTCAGGAAAAGTTATGAGAGACTGAAGTGAGCATAAAAAGTCACTGGGTGTCCTGTCTAGCACACCCTCCCAGGTCACTGGAGCTATTTTATGACCCTGTTAAGTTATAGAAAGTGGATAGTAATACAGATTATTCTTATTCCTAGAAATGAAGATGAATTCTGTCCTAGTGGAGGTGCATCTGATAATATTAATTACCCTGTAAATATTTACCAATTTTGTATCAGTTTATAAATTTGTTTCTGCATCCCTGGTTTTCTACATGAATGTGTTTGTTGAATTCTTCTTTGAAATAGTTGTAACATCTTACTAGTTCCCTCCTTAGTTAATGAATTAAAACCTTTGACACAGGAACATTTATATTAGAGTTATGCTTTTACTTTCTTTAAAATGTCTTTTAACAAAGGTTTCGATGCTTGAGATAGTTTTTAAAACAGTAGAATTAAAACAAAGCCAGAGAAGGGAGCTGAGCTAACTAAGCTAACATGCAGTGACATCCCTGCTAAAACGACCTCTCAACCAAGACCAAAGGGCGAGGAGAAGCCTTTCTCTTTGCTTCTAACACCAGCGATTTCACAAAGAAATAAGATGCACTAAAAACATCCCGTACTCAGACACACTCTTGTCTTACATCTTAGGCGCTCAGGATTTACTGGTGTAACCTTAATGAGAACTCAAAACCCAAGCTTATCAGACAGAACACAACATATTGGGGTGAGCTGTTCCATTACAAAAGATTTCAATGCAGGGTTCACCTTTAAGGAACTAAGTATTTTAAATTGACATAGAAAAGCTATGATTGGGAGCTACTGCACAGGGTTTCCTGTACAGAGAAGCAGGGTTCTCACCAGCTGCACACAGTGTCCTTGTCTATTTCAGCCCTTAATCTACAGGCTTTTTCTAAAATTAATCACTCAGAACGTTCCAAGCCCTTGGAAATATTACCAGTGAAGACTGAGGTGGCAGCAGCATGTCGCTGGCCCCTGCTTCACCCCCATCCCCCATCAGACCACATCACCCATGTCCTGTCCCAATCTCCCCCGCCCGGCACACAGCCTCAGCGCTCAGAAGAGACCTCTCCAGCCGCCAGGGATAGGTAACCAAGGAAGCCCTCCCTCGGGCATGGAGTAGGGCAGGAGCTGTATGCTGCAGGAGGGGGGGTGGGGGGGAGAAAGATAAGGGAGGAGGGTAGCACGGGAAGTCTCCACTATGAAAATTGCAGCCATGGGGAAGAGACACAAGGAATCAGATAACAAAGCAGTTCCTTCAGGCCTCAGGCACCAGCAGGCTGCGCTGAGCCAGGCACGTGCAACTCACCATGGCCAGGTCTCCCAGGGCCACCCTTGCCCCCTTGAAGCCCAGGCTGATAGTGAACCCGCCTCCAACTCTGTACCACACTCTTCAGTTTACCACCATCACATTCAGTTCAGAGCTGCCCACACCGACTACGCAGAGACCACCCCCTGGGCAGCCAACCTCTCCGGGTGTGCACACGCCAGCAGCCGTGGCCATCATTCCAGGCAGAGTGGGTCGGACTGCAGGATGGCAGTGGCGGCTCAGGGGGGCTTGCCAGCAGGGCTGCACTTGAGAGGGGCCTTCAGTGTGTGACACTCGGGATGACGGATGCGAAGGGAGGAAGCATTCGGGCTGAAGTGGGCTTTGCGCAGGCTGCCCTGCTGTCCGTCCTTGCATCCAGCCACAGCCCACTGCCCCCTTTACCATCTCCACCGGAGGAGCGTTCAGGTGGGAGAAGGGGCGGGGCACGCTCGGCGTCCCACCTCCTTTCTCAGAGCCCGAAGGCTCCCCAAGGAAGTAACTGTCCAACATGCACAGTCTTGGCCTCCTTCCCGATAGTTTAGTACTTTCTCAACCCGGGGGGGGGGGACCCTGTCTGGGGGGGACCCTCTCCTGGGGAGGACCCACAGGTTCTCTCTTCCCTTCTGGTTGCATCTGCCTCAGCCTGCTGGGCTAAGAGGTCAGGCACTCCTGGGGTTCCCAAAACCTACACACCCTCTGGGCCTGCCCCAGCACTGACCACCAGCACTGACCACCGCCAGTGCCCAGTGGACCTGAGCAGTCAGAACTGGTACTGGACGAGCCTCTAGGACACTTATAGCCTGAAGCCCTGGGCAGGCAAGAGGGCAGCGGACACTGGAGAAAAAGGCCTGCCGGGCTGGCTCCCTCCTAGGAGGCCCAGGGCAGACAGGCACCTGGGACCCCAAGGCCCCAGAGAGCCTGTCACAGTCACCCAAAGGAGATCCTCAAACAGCTGGGGCCTTCCTGCCTGAATTCCCACAGACACTGAGCAGTGTGCCAGCCGGGCTGGGCACAGCCTCCTCGCCGGGTTCCATGCCAGCAGAATGGCCTGAACTGACCAGTAGACATCCACCTAGCACGGCTCCTCATGTTCCAGCCTTCCCCTCTCCAAACCCCGAGACATTCCATCCTTGCTTATATCCCCAACATCCTGTCTCAAAGACCAGCATCCTCTCCCCGGGGAAGGCAGCTTTCTTGTTTCCTCAGAACCTTGGCTCATCCAGGCTGTTTTCTGATTCTTACTACACCCCTGGGTGAGGGGGGGGGCCCAGAAGGTGGCTTCTCTCCACCATATGGGAGGGGGCAGTACGTACCTGTCAGGAAAGCTGGCCTGGACAACTCCCCATGTGCCATCCAGGCCTCAGATCCACGCGCCCAGGCCACCTGCCCACCAGGACCGGGAGGGGAGGCTGACTGCGGCCTTCCCTCTGCTGCAGCTGCCAGTTCATAAACACGTCCTGCCTCCCCATTTCTAAGCCACACTTTCCTCCTCTACACTGAGTGGCCAGATCATTATGACCACCCCATCAGTGCTTCATGGACACTTCCAAAAACGCTGAATACTGAAAACTTCCTAAGCAAATACTCTCAAGGCTTTATTATTATTATTTGCATAACTAATTCACTTCATTGTACTGATGGGGTGGTCATAATAATCTGGCCACTCAGTGTATTTCTACCTGGTCTCTTCTGGCAGACATGAGAAAAGCCAATCCTCCCTCCCAGATGCCAGGCCTCCTCTCCCAGAGGGTGAAAGGCTGTCACCTTCCCATAAAGATGCTTCAAGGCCCAAAGAGACCAAGTTGGAGGGGCTGCTGCTGCCCAAGGCTCCAGTGGCCACTGCTGCTTGCAGCTGCCCAGGCCCTCCTAGCCCAGCACTGGGCAGAGAACCTTTCCTTGTCCGTCTGTGGCATTGCATGTGGCCTCCCAGAGAACACGAGGGCTCCTAGCTCACTTACAGTCTCCCAGCACGCTGGCTTCAGCCATGGCTCCAAGTGTGGCTGCTCAATATCACCATACGTCTGAGGGGTACAAAGAGGACACACTGATGGCCTCAGGCAAGGAACGTGGGGACCCCGGTGTTCTCCCACTGTGCCTGGGGTGGGGATCATGTAGCCCAAACCACTGCCAATCCCTCAAGGCAGCCCTGGACCTGAGTCTGGATCTTTCTCTAGACCAGTGATGGCGAACCTTTTGAGCTCGGCGTGTCAGCATTTTGAAAAGCCCTAACTTAACTCTGGTGCTATGTCACATATAGAAATTTTTTGATATTTGCAACCATAGTAAAACAAAGATGTATATTTTTGATATTTATTTATATATTTAAATGCCACTTAACAAAGAAAAGTCAACTAAAAAAATGAGTTCGCGTGTCACCTCTGACACGCGTGTCATAGGTTCGCCATCACTGCTCTAGACCCTTGATTAGTACTTTCTGTAGAAGAGGATGGCAAGACGCTCCCTTCTCCTAAAGAAACAGGCTCCCCAGAGTATCCACAGGTCAGACAAGGCAGGAGGCATATTCCATTCCCTTCGTGGTCTCCATCAAGCACTATTCGGCAAGCCGAGCATGCCAGGCCCCCGAAGCTCTGGGAGTAGGCGGCAGGAGCTCCATGTGTGAAGATGCTAAACCCAGAGGGAGGCTTGCAGCCAAGCCACACACAGAGCAGCTGCCTGTCCATCAGATTCAGGGAGCACAGCCCCTGTAGGCTGAGTTTCTCCGTGACCCAGGGGTGCGGCCGGGCAAAGCTTTGCCACCAGCTCTGTCTCTTGCTAGAGTCCGTTGCAAACTCTCCCTCTCCCTCAGGAGTTCAAGGAGCAGCACTTCAGGCCTGTGCCCCTGGGAAGGAATCTGGGAAGAGGACCAGCAGCCCAGGGGGAAACCCTGGCCTGGGACCCAGGCACCTGTCCACCTGCAGTGGTGACCCCCACAACCAAGGAACCTTCAGTGGCCGCAGGAGGACACACATCAGGAGCCCTACGTAACAGGGGCGGCCAGAGAAGTTTGGTCCAGCCCCACAAGTCGCTCACGGCACCATCCCAAGAAGCACCATTCCCACCGGGGATGGAGTTGAGTAATATGGTTGTCCTGGAGACGCCTCCTTGTGGTACCAGCCACTCACCATCCACTGGGGCCCCGGGACTTACTAAGGAAAAAAAAGGCAGAAACATGTTTTGTTCTTTTTTTTAAAAGAGCAGATCAAGTGATTTCTGAAACGGTTTCTTTGGCTAGTTTGAATCTTCGGTGGGGGTGGAGAAAGGGCAAGAAGGAAAGGAGAGCCCTGGCCCGTTTGGTTCAGTGGATAGAGTGTCAGCCTGCAGACTGATGGGTCCCAGGTTCGATTCCAGTCAAGGGCACAGGCCTGGGTTGTGGGCTCAACCCCCAGTGTGGGGTGTGCAGGAGGCAGCCGATCAATGATTCTCATTGATGTTTCTATCTCTCTCCCTCTCCGTTCCTCTCTGAAATCAATAAAAATATTTTTTTTTAAAAGAAAAAGAAGGAAAGGTGACCTCCAGCAAATATCTTGGAAGGAGCTAGTGAGAAAGTGAGAAAGAGAGAGAGAGAGAGAGAGGTGGGGCGGGGGAGTCCTTTTCACATCTTTCAGGCTGTGGCTTGTAAATTTCCAAGATTTCCAACCTCCGCTGTGGGTTTTCATCAGCTGACCCAGGAAAGCTGTTCCAGCCTGTGTTTGGCTCTCTGAGCATCAGGTCCACTAGGGGGCAGGAGGCCCAAGGCTACACAGGCCCAGCCAGCTTTTATTTAAGGAAACACAAGGCCATCTTTAATTGTCAGGTCCCCCTGGGCTTGAACCACTGTGACAAGTGACATTGAAAAGGGAGAGGCTGCTGGCATTAACTCCTGGCTTTTTCTATTCCTGCCCTGTGACGCTCAGGGAGCGATTTTAGGCCACATGCCTGGGAGTCTGTTTCCTCTGCTTGGGGAAACAGCACACGCAGAACTCACCAGAACCAGGGGCCAGTCGGCATCGGACAGACAAGAAATAATGTGAGAGACGCCCCCACACACACCCACGGGC